CCTCTCTGAGTTCCATCACATAGAATGATACGTGTGACGGCATATTTTCACACGGAACTTCCCAGTGCGCCGAGCACTTGCTATATATAGAGCGAACGTATCCGAATATTAGAAACCACACGTTATTACATGTAGCTAGTGCTCGGCGCACTGAGAAGTTCCGTGTGAAAATATGCCGTCACACGTATCATTCCATGTGATGGAACTCAGAGAGTCGTCCAATTAATATTGCCCACAAAAAACGCAGAAAAACAGCACTTTTTTCTCTTAAAGCTGCAGCTTTAAATTAAATTTAACGAGAATTTCCAAAAAAAAAAATTGCTCAAACCAATGAAACCATTCTGTGTTATGAAAAACTGCCTAGTTTACTCGATTAGAGTGAAAAAAAACTAAATAAAATCATGAATAAATCACTCAACTCACCGAGATAATGCAACCCATAACAAAGCATGTGCATGGACAGCCTTTTTCAAACGTGCCTTCTTTTGCATAAGAAACCACGGTGAAGAGCATTAGAAGGATATGAGCAGTAGATACAAACAAGCCTAAGTAGCTGTATAATGTCAATGTTTGGTCCTCTCGAAATGTGGGACAATCAAGTACATCCGCGCCCATTCTACCGATGCCATATAAATAGGCGAATTTCTGAAGTGGCTTCTTTTGATTCCAGTCATTTCTGGCATTTGGTATACGGTATAGGATTTCACGCCATTTTGGCACTTCAAACTTATTATCATTGCTTTCGATTTTTTTCGTTCCACTCGAATGATGCACCATCTTTCCTTTCACTTTTGAAAATTAAAAAGAAGGAACAACACTGAAACTATGAAAATAACTAAATCCACAAATAAAAATTCAAATGAATTTATGTTTTTTTTTTCTAAATTATTGAATTTTCTAATTTTTCTTGTATAGAATATGAAACGCAAGTTTGAACTCCCTTTTATGACGAGATTTGTTGAGCACACTCAGCGACTCAGCTTCGACTGAACAATTGACATTCGCCAGATCGTCTTATATGGGCAATCAGAAGACATTGCTTTGCTATGCATTTATTATTCATGAAGTTTATTGCGCATTTGAAATGAAACACATGCAACCAACAGTTTTTTTTTTTTTCACAGAAAATGACGAAAATTCAGTGGTTCAATTGGCATTTACCTAACCATATGAAAAATTGATCAATAATGAAAGAAATTCGTAAATGGAAATTATTCTCGTTCGTTTATTCTGTATCAATGCCGAGGAAGCAAAGACATGTGTTTGAATAAATATCGACGAGAAAATATTTAATGATTGATTGAAAATGCATGGATAACATCAATCAATGCATTTGAATGTGCAATTGAGACATTTGAAAATGAATGTTATATGAAAAAAAAAAAAATTCCAACAAGTCATAAGCAAAGATGAATGGAAATCATAAAAAAATGTAGGGGGAGTATGTGTAAGTTGACCCACTTTGTAAGTTAGCCCACCACGCCGATTTTGGATTTGGACCGACAAATCGTCAATTTGGCTAGTCTCACCCAAGCAAAAATTCACACTGAATCGACGTTGCGTTTACACATATCTGACACTGTTCTCACACGGTTTTGAACGTCAAACCGTGTGGCTATAGTATAGTAGAGTGTGAAGTCGTTTGACACCATTTTTGATGTCAAATAACCGTGTGGATGCAGTTTATGTTTGTATTGGACAGTGTGGAAGTCTGCCGAACTGTTTTAAATTTAAAACCATGTCGCCAAAGTGTATGACCGTTGCGTTATCATGGCCAGCCCCTCTGATCGTCTTTACAAATAGATAGGAAACGTCAAACAAGAACAATAAAGCGGCACCTGGCGACTGGTTGAAGAAATAGAGAATCATGCACATAGTTTGCTGTAACAAGTATGCGTCTGTGTAAGTGCGTCTGTGTAATTCAAACGTTGCAAGTATGACACGTTGCACTTAGTCCCCAGGTGCCGCTGTATTGTTTACTATTTTCATGATCAGAAAGGCTGATCATGGCGAATTTTGAAACCATTTTTGGTGTCGACTCTTGATACCTGAACAAACTTACACTGCATCCACACGGTTATTTGAAATCAAATATGATGTCAAACGGCTTCACACTCTTTTATACTATAGGCACACGGTTTAACGTTCAAAACCGTGTGGGAACAGTGTCAGATATGCGTTAACGCAACATCAATTCAGTGTGAATTTTTTCTTGGGTCAATCGATTTAGAAACGTCAAAAAAGTAGTTCCCAAGTGTAAATACGCTTCTTAAACGGCTCGAATCGGCCCATAAAAATTGTTTGCAAAAAAAAATCATTTTTATAAAAACTAAATTTTTTCGGACCATCATCAAGTAGACAATTTCAAAGATATCAGCAAAGCAAGTATAAGCTTTCTTCACTAGTTTTTCGTGTATTTTCATAATCTTAAGTCATTTCACACATATCGTTACATGGCGAAATTTTTTCCGTGCATATTGAAATGTCGAACAATTTTGTAAGTTGACCCACCCGAAAAAAAAAATCAGAAAAATGAGACAACTATTCAGCGTAAACACTCAATATACGAGATTCATTGAATTTTAATGAATTTCCAATCGTTTTTGGACTTGAAAAACACGAAAAAATCGATGAAATATGAAATAATAGAGAATATGTATTTTTTTACAATTTCTATATTTTTCTACATTGTTTCATTGTTTTTCGTAGTTGTAAAGACCAAAAACGATTGAAAATCCAACGAAATTCAATGAATTTCATATATTGGGTGTTTATACTGCATGTTTTTCTAAAAAAAAAATAGGGTGGGTCAACTTACAAAGAAAAAAATTTGTTGCCAAAAATCAGACCTCTTAGAAAATTGAGCGAAATATTTTGTTTTTACAACCAAAGCTTATGAATTTCCCAATCAAATTGTAGCTTTTTCGGTTCTCTTTCCAATGGTATATCAAGTGTGCATTTATCTTTATTCCATAAAAAGTTATGACTAAAATGATTAGTGCGGGTCAACCTATACATAATTCCCCTACATATCCACACAAATTTTCACACCAAAATTCCATACAAAACGAACATTGATATTTATATGGAATGATGATTTCATTATGGGTGACATGAATTGATTGAACATTTTGAAATCAAAACCCCGTGAACGCTTTTACCTTAACCTGGATTGAGCAAATCGTGTGAAATTTATATACAGTGAAAGGCACCGGACACCAGCACTTTGACAGATAATCGAGGTTTTCATAAAATGAGCCAGAACAATCAAAATTCCCATATTATCTATTATTGTGTTATTATAAAAAATTGGGTGATGACGAGAAAGAAGATTGATTTGATACACAAACATCTCATCTTCGGATTGATCTGTATCAATGATGTTGTATGTGTTGGTAAAAAAATAACGTGTAATAAATAATGTTTCCATTGCCACTCACCAAATCAGCTTCAGGATGACTTGGTGCATTGTTCAATTACGAGAACTGTTTTCGATAGCCATGCCTTTGATTTCAAATCTTATTGTACGAATGTGCAAGCGGCACACAATTGATTTTCATTATGAATGTTAGTCGGTGACATTATTCGTATGTTCAAGTGAAATAAACAGAAAAAAGAATTTCACAACGGCAAAGTGTTATGTTTAACAGAGGTGATGGTTAATGGGAGGATGGATAATCCAGGTGAAAACGTTTGAAAAATATGCAAAAAATCTACCACCAAAATGTAGTTGCATGATGAATTAATTGTTCGTATTATGATAATACTGGTTATTTATAATAACATGCGCGTGGAGTGCATTATTTTGACTTGTATCTATGGGGTTGAACATTGTTCAGTGAACAAGCACCTGGCGAAGAAAATATGTTAACGTCGCAATGAAAATTCCAGAGAAAATAAGTACAGTATTTATGTGTTTTTGACACATTGATATATTCTAATGTAAACCTAGTCGGTTTTGACGCGATCGAGTCGATTGCCTGTTTATTATGTATTAATTGGAACAGAAATTAGAGAAAAGAACTCTCAACTCGTTTTGGAAATACGACGTAAAAGCAAGAATAATTACATCAACACTTATCGCCAATTGACAAATCGAATCGACTCAACGATTGAACTCCCTCCCCGTGTGCAAATATTGTAACTGAGCAGTCAGATAACTAATTTCGGACAAAAATGACTTACTTTGATTGACATTTCAGTAAAAAGTGTAGTGTAAGTCTATCATAGTTAACTGAAATCATTTGAATTTACAAGTCAATCTAAGTTGCTTAATTTGGGACAAAGTGATTTTCGTCGCACAAAAACTTAAATTCAATCAACTAAAGTCAACTGAAGTTATAGTCAGTCAGTCCTATTTTTTTTTCACACGGGTCTCCACTTACTTTCGTCATATCGATTTTTCACGCGATACGGTGACGAAAAAGAATTCAAATCGATCAACTTGAACAACAAAAAGTGTCCACGTTTTTATCACGTATCGGCATTGAAATTTACCTTGGGTCTTTTTACTCTTTCGCATACGTGCGCATAATCGCGCATAGATAGTGCGTTTTTCCCTCGAATTCCATAATTGCATTCACTATATCCTTCTAAGATCACTTCAACATTGTTGCATTTCCACACACAGAAATAAAATGTGGTAGGTTTGTGCTATCTATTGGTGAAGAGTATGATTACCACAAGTCTTAGAAAAGTTACCCCATGCACCAAACTATTATTATGCACAGAACACATGCATTTTTTGGTTGGAAAATTTTCGGAAAAGCGCTACTGTGGGAAATTGGGAAATCGGGGAAAGTTCAGACCAGTCTCAATCGATCAGGCGGAAAATTTCATGTGAGGTACCGACCCAAAGGGCGATTTTCAAGCGAAAAAACCATCCATTTCTGAGATAAATGAAAAAACTCGGAAATATTGGCAAGTTTTTTCCCACAAACCTACCACATTTTATTTCTGTGTGCATGTGTGTCGAACAATTAGAGAAAAAAAAATCGTCATTTTCTGCTGATTTGAATGGAATTTTATTTTGGTTAACTGTATGACATCTTTGTATAATAAATGGGCTTGGTTTATTTATCACATTTGGTTTTTATCTAGAGAGGTTGTTTATTTAAATAACATCGAAATACGAACAAATTAAATGCTAAGATCCTTACTACCTAACAAATCAACAAAAAAAAAAAAAAACAAAACGATGGAATTAAATTTAAAGCATGCGAATTGATGTCCGTTTCAAAGAAACGTCTCGTTCATATTCAAAAATGTTTGGATAACAATTGCTGGTAGAAATGGATTTGTTTGGATTCTCTTTTCCATCTATTTAGCATATACAAGACTGAACAGTCTAATGACTGGCACTTGCTATCGACTAATTGACCGCAACATGAGGAGCACATCTCGAGGCACAAGTTCAATTTACGTTCTAATTGCATAGATTTATCCGTTAGAATGAGTACACTTTGTTGTCGGCGTCGCGGTGCCAGACATTTGGAGCAGATGCCATTTTGTGTGTGCTCACCACAATCACAAACACAATTCGTGCTGGAAAAATACTGTGAAATCGTACTTTTTTTCGCCGCCGCCGCACCAGTCACACCGGCAACACCTCTGATCAATGATTTATCCAATGACGTATCCCATGGTTTACTCAAGACATTCGCGGCAACATCGAGCGAGAGCATATACTGCGATTTACGGGGCAAATCGGAAAACCATTGATTTGCATCGGCTCCAATCAATAACAGGCACCGATTCAACGGTGGTATCAACACTTTTGTTATGTAGTAAATTGCATTGATTTTGAGCGCTTCATTCGTGAGATACTCATGTGGACTGCGCACCAAACGAATCAACGGCACACCTGGTGGCCCATTTATGACGAGGTATGGAACACGTTCACCACGACGTGGCTCGGCTCGGCGATCTACCTGCAGAGCAGCCCTGATAATGAAGAATTTGGGTGAAATTGAAACAAATTAGAACATTTCTGATGAATGTATGCAATTACCTAGTCAGTTCGAGTGATGGTACACATGCGCCTGGTTTGTAGCCATTAACACCGCGAAACTCTTTTGCAAATATTAGATCTTGAACATTTGCTCGACCCGATAAAATTTTCGTAAACTGCTTACAAATGTATCGTTTCACAGTGCTCACATCGCACGTTTCGAAGAGGATGCGCAAGGTTTTTTCCAAAATCTGGTGTAACATAAGAAGAAATAGTTAATGAAAAATTATGTTTTTGAGTCAAAATTTTTTGAAAAAAAGTGAAAAAAAATGAAAAAAAAAAAACGATCCAAAATTCTGGGATCGAACTCTTGGCCACTGGAGCACGAACCCAATGTCCATTCAATGTTGCTATCTCAATCGATCACTGTAATCGTTGCAACGATTGCCAAACAGCAATGTTTTACCTCCGTGCGAGTGTGTGGCCAATCGTTGCAACGATTAAATTGAGTTGAGCTCAAAATATTCCTTGTGAAGAAGGAAAAATTTTCCCCGAACGTTCGAAAATCAATGAAAAGGTTCGAACAGTGGAAAATTGTTCGTGTGTTCGTAAATTTTCCGAACGTTCGAATTTTTGTATGAATTTCGAACAGTTCGATGTTTGTGTTCGTTTGTTCGTGGAAAATTTCGAACGTTCGTAAACAATCCAAAAATTTTCGAACAAATGAACGAACGTTCGTCAATTTTTGAAGCGCCCACGAACGAACGAACGAACGAAATTCGACTTTTTTTCGAACTGTTCGTGTTCGTTGACACCTTTATTTTTGACGTGAATTATTTTAATTTTGTTCGATAATTCACGTTAAAATTGAATTTATGAGTAATTTTATAGAATTTTCAAGAAGAATTTAAATGTTATTAGACGAAGTTAGAAGAAGAAGAAAAAAATAAATCAAAAAGAATTGATTACCTTTGCGACTGCTGGGCAACCATCGCGACGAACTGTCTCAATTCCCTTGGCCTCGTATGTGGCAGCACTTTGATCGGCCGATTCATACATATAACCAACGTAGCGCTTTTTCGTTTGTAATATGGACGGTAGATAGACTTTTTCGAGTTTTAATTTCACCGGAAATGGATTTTGTTTGGTGACTGTGTCAGCGATTTCCGCACCGATTCGAAATGCCTCTTCACGGCTTCGGCCAGGCACCAGCACAAACATTGAATCCGTATCACCGTATACAACTCGACATCCCCATTCTTTGTTCGACTCAACCGTTTTGATCGCCCGTTCAAGTGTCTCACGTCCCTTGCTAACCACACTGTCACCAACCTCAACGCACGGCATTCGACCACTGAAATTAGCCGCCGTATAACCTGAAGGGTGAATGAGTTATTGTAGAATAAATCAAAAGAGAGCAAGAAAACACGTTGCTCAATGCTAAAAATTCATTGGGACATGACTTCGAAATGAATAACAAACATTTTTCAAAGAGCTTCAAAAAATGTGAAGACAACAATTTACCGTATGTTACATTAGCCATTAGCTTCAGTCCCAGCTGGCGAGAATGAAGAATTCGTTGCAAGAGTTTATCGCTTTTGTGCAATTTCATCGACTGTTTCACCATTAAACGCGTATCGAGAATTTCACGTAGCATCCGCGGCAGCACACCTTCTCGAACCGATGGCTTCACAAACACGGCACCGCATGGCGATATGTTGATCAATTTCTTTTCCTTGAGCTTTTCGATTAGACGACGAGGTACTCGTAACTGCCACGCCCCCAACTCAAATGGTGTTGATCTGAAAAGGAAATTTTGTTGAATCATTTAACCAAAAACAGAGTAGAAAATGCTAAAGAAATACGGAAAATTGCTGCGAACTTACTGTCCCAGATGCTCGACTCGACCAAGACACGTCGAAAAGCAATAGTTGTAGGCGATTATCATGCTTGGGTATAAACTTTGAAAGTCTAACACAATCATTGGATCAGAATAAAAACGTGAATGTGGCTCCAAAATCAATGGCAAATATTCAGGTGAACGCATATGTGCTCGTTGCTGTACACTTGGCGAAACTGGAATCAAATTTTTGGGCTTTGCAATCCTGGAAACAATTGGATTCATTTTAGTTTTGTTTTACTTGAAAATATGTTTCTTCAAGCTACGTATCGCAAATTTACCTCAACATCATGCTTTCAACGCGAAACTGTGATCCTCTTGACAGAACTTCATAGAATTGTATGCCAAATAATTTGGCCAATTCGCACGTACGACCGACTAAATCCAACTGGTTTAAAATTTCCAACGTTCCTTTGACTCGATTCAAATAGTACTCAATGACAATCCATCGATTGACTGATTCGTTCCACAGCCGTGTTAGTTTTTCGCATGAATACAATGGGCATCGACGGTGCATCACGTGGTACATTATATTCTCAAATGAGTATGACGTCAGTGCAATTTCACCTCGCAACAAACGCCATACATCCAGCAAAATGCGACCATGCAATTTGTACTCGGAATCATACTCGAATCCCATAAACTCTTCGTGTTGCACATTTTCTTCATCGGCTTGCTTAAATTTGGCCACTCGTTGTGATGGTATGCGGGAAATCAATGGCACAAGATCAACATTTATCACTTGACTGCGTTGTATGACATAGCCCCATGATGCCAATTCAATTTCATAACCAGCAAATATATCTGGATCCCATTTGCGGATCAATCGCACCAACTCCATGAATAGTTCAGTTTCAGTGGTGACGAGTGTCAAACTGGTCTGGGTCGCTATTCGAAAGTGAGTGAAATCTGGATATTTGCTTGTGTTGATCAACACTCCGGACGCCCGTTGCTTCAAGCAATCATCAGTCGATGATGGTGGTGGCGGTGGCACATCATTGTAAATCTCGTAGAAAATGCACACAATCTCATCATGGATCGGGTCAGGCAACAGAGCCGATCGCGTTTGACAGTGGATTTCAAGCGATAATATCGTCAGATAATTGTGCTGCAAATAGGAATATGATTCATTTCTTTTGTCAAATAATTTTTTTAACAAGTAAAATGGCTTCTAGCGTTGTTTTAACGGCGTTGTCAAACAAACATTTTTTTTTATCAGAAACCAAAATTTGTTCTAATGTTCATTTTTTCTCTCAAATACTTGTTTGATCAGACATTTTCACATAACAGTAATGCCCATGGATAGAATAGCAAACTAAGTAGTATCCAACTCACCTCAATGTTTGATTTGGCACATTGAAAATTTTCCAAATTCAAGCGGAAACCAAATGAATTTTCCATTGGGCCACCTTTGATGCCAAAACTCGTATCCGTTGCACTTAGCCTAGCGATGGTATCATCCAAATTTAAATGGGCACGAAAGTCCGTATTGTCAAGTTTCTTCTCAAGATGAGAATCAGACTGAAATTGAGATATAAATTTTGATCAAAACGTATCGATTTCCTCGGTGAGATACCGGAAAACACAGACGTCGACATTTATCATTCATATTTTTTCATGAACAAATTTTTTTTTTTATTTTTCTCAAAATAATTTTTTTCTCCTTCTTTTGTTACCAAACTTTTTATGGGCATTTTTGAAAGAAAGAAAACGAATTTTCATTAGAAGAGAAGGAAAAGTGAAATGAAATCGAAGACCTAATACTTGAAAGAAAAAAAACCGAATAGAAAATTGATTGAAGGAAACAAACGACAAAATTCATTCAACAATCGTTTAATCAAAGAAAGTGTTCATTATAAAGAAAATTTGGATAAATTCAACATAAACATAATTTGGTCATTCCAAGAAAGTTTGCACAACATTTTTGGTTTAAATTTTATTTTAAATCATTCAAAAATTAGTCTAAGAAAACTGTTGCTTTTCGAAACTTAGATCAAACTAAAATAAAAGTCTTAGCTTTATGACTTTAGCCCTAACAAATGTCATGTCAGCTTAATTTAAGCAGAATGTGTGTGTTTTCCGATATCAAACGATCGATTCTTCTGTTATGTGATTTCTACATTCTTTTACTTTCGTAAATAAAACGAAATATCTTTCAACGAATTGTTTTATTTTTCTTGATCCACAATAAATATTTATTGTTTGTAATAGAAATTCAAACAAATCACGTGAGAGAGAAATTCAAAGAGATGGTATCTTCCGATTTAGAATCATCGTGTAGAACGTACCAATTTAGTGAATGAATTTGTGTGTTGTGTTGGTTTCGATGGTTTTGGATCATCCAGACAGACGACATCATTGTCGTCCTCGTCATCACTGTTGTCGCTGCGTGTGATTTTATTCTCATCGTCTGAATGTGATTTGAGAATGTTTGTTTTGCCCGTCCGTTTTGAAACCAGTAACACAGTGAGATCTTTATTCGACCGAAGTACACGCATGATGTCATGATCAAAACCATTTGTTGTTGGTGCTACTGCTGCTGCTGCTGCGGCTTCATCATCGCATTCGTACAAAGCGGCGATTGCTTTTTCACGACGAATTTTCTCCGGACTGTCAGCGTCATCATGAACACCGTTCATCGTTGAATATTGATCGGATGTGCGTTTTTTCTGCTTTGTTTTCGATCGCATATCAATCCAATTGCGAACATTTTCCTTTGTTGGTGGCGCATACACCGGTCTTATCAAAACTGGTTTCTCTTTGGCCAAAAACTTGCGAATGGTGGTTTCATTGTTCAGAATTCTACTGTCTAAAATGCGTTGTGAACATCGTATGGCTTGCATACCAATCAATCGTTGCCATTTACCAATGCCGAGCACATTCAATTGACTCTTGAACTCATCACAATCGGCCACCGCATTGCCCGTCAACTGAAGAACCGTGTGACCGATTTCTTTCTTCGAATTGTTCGCTATAACATCATTTGGATCGCTATAGAAGGGAACTGGATGTATCGCCTTGGGAAATTCGTGTGAATCCAACACTCGCTTTGCATCGTTCGGATGTGGAGCACGTACAGTGGGTTTTATGGTGCATGTGTCCTTTTGCCGTCGCGGTCGCAGCACTCGTTGAATCTTCAACTCACTGGATGAATTCTTGAGATTTTCCAGAAATTTCGAGATGACGGGCGTTGACAGTGTTGTATTGGCAAATGATTCGCTTTGCGAATTGATCTCACCCACATTGAAAGTGTCATCATCGGGTGCGTTTCCATTGGCTTGTGTTGGCGTTGCCATATTCGCTACGATTGACTGTTCGTAAAAACTTTGCACATGAATGTCGTTTTCTTCTTCGGAATCCTCGCTGAGTATCGGTGAATAAACGCTAAACAAACCTGGTGAATCGCCTTTGGCATCATTCAATTTCTGTACTTTGACCTTTTGCGATGAATATCGTTGCGGTGGCGTACTGTTGAGCCGCTTCTTGGCAGTTGATTCACCCGCTTTGTCACCGCTCGTTGCAGCCGCTTCATTGTCTTTATGTGTACTCTTCGATGCAAGTGGTCGATAGTACCCGGTGATTACGTCATCTTCATAGTAATTTAAATTCGATGGGCCCGGCTGCGGGAAAAAGTTTCGCTCTTCGTCATAGCACTTGGCCAATTCACAATCGGACCATTTGTACCATGAATACCAAAAATCCATTTTGTTCAACTCGTCATCGTCTCTTTTTCGCGGTTTCTTCACCTTCTTATTCCCGGCTGCCAATTGATATCGTGCCAATGCGCTGATGCGTGTCGTTCGAGTTCTCTTTGGATAACGACGCTCTGTCTCGGGTTCACGTTCTGGCGTTGTTTCAATCACTTCATCGTCGTCATCATCCGAAACACTGGGCTTTCGTTCGGTATCAGCCGGTTCTCTTGAGAAAGTGCTAGCTTTTGCAAACACCAAACGCCTGTAAGAAATTTGGTTATTTTAGGGTTGGTTATTTTCTTTTCACTTAATACTTTTTTCACATTTTTCGAAGAAAAAAAAAATTGTCTTCGTTAAATTGAAAATGAAAAATTGATGTATTGAATGGTATTCATGCCATTCAACTGAATATTTGTTCCGCTTTTGATTCAGTCAACACTGATTTCGATTTCAATTATGAATACTTTTTGTAGAAACCATGGTAGAAACCTTTAGTAAACAGCTACATTGGCCGAGGGAATTTTTTTTGGCAAAGTCTCGTTCAAAATTCAATTCAAATGTCAATATTTCACTTAATCATGAACATCTCTGATTAGTTGCAATTTCTTATGGTTTTTATTTGTAAAACGAAGCTACTTCCTCTTCGTTTGCGAAAGAAACGAAAAATTCAAAATGAATCAGACGAATCAACGCAATAAACAGAACAAAAACATCATATTCGTTCATTATTCACAATCAAAAGCGTTTCAAACAACAAAAAAGATCGCATTGAATTCATGTGAACCAATAAAAAAAGGTGTGAAAAACTTACATATCGGAATTTGGTTCTTTTTTCGATGTCGAATGGGGTTTCTTCTTTGGTGGCGTATTAAATATTTCTTCGATATTATTATATCGAATCAAATTTACGACAAGCGATTTCTTCAAAATGTCACGATATTTTTCCGGCACTTCAGTGTTCTTCGCCAATTTTTGTTTGTCTTGCACTTTTTCCGGCTCGTTCTTCTTCCCTTCTTCTACCGCATTGTCATTCTCTTGTTTCACTTCTTCTTGTTGGTTTTTGTTTTCACCTAACTGTACATTTGCTTTGTCGTCGTGTTTCTGTTTGGCTGGTGTTTTGTTCTGATCGGTTGATGCACGCTGCTCTGAGCGACACTCCGTTAATATCTTTCCAACGGTATACGTCTTTGGCACTAACGCATCACACTTCTCAAGACACAGTTTTGGCCTGCAAAAGAGTTTGATTGTTACAAACACTGTGAACGTTCTATGCACAATAGGCCGTCTCTTTCGTGCGTTGAAAGAGAGAACGTTGTTATGTTTGAATGCGTTGTTTTGATGTTTGGTTTGACTTACACAAGTATATTTCGTTGTTGTTGGTTCACACCATGCGGCGATGCTACCATCGGACTTTTTGCTATCACAATGGTGAGCGGTGTATACTTTTTGGCACTTTTCGACGGTGAACGCATACTTTGTTTGACAGCTGCTGCGGCTTTTTTGAATGCGCTCCGCTTTTTCGGACTGTCAAGTGCGCCATCCAGTTGCGGGATTTTTAGTTCAGATCTGAAACAATAACAATAGCAACAGCGATTGAGGTTAGAAATACGAAAATTGTTGATGCGGCTCAATGTTTTTACAATTTGTCATCGGTATCAACTGTTTTAACAATGATTTGGTGACGGCGATTTTTTGGATGCATTTTTTAAAAGCAATTTTTAGAATCGTTTTTTAGAATCGTTTTTTCCTCTTCATGATTTTCACGGTCAATTGGAATAAAATAAATAGATTTTCAATATCAATATTGACGTCAATATTTTTTTGTTCAACAATCCAACTTACCTATCATTCTCACCGGGCAAACAATCGATAATGCTCATAGAGAATTCGTTTAAAAGATCATCATCGGAATCGTCCTCTTCGAACGATGTAATGTGATCATCTTTTTTGTGCTTCGATTGACTAAAATGTTGTGATGAGTTGTCTTTCAGCCGTTGGCTGATTGGAGCGAGTACACTGTCGTCATCGATGCGCAATGTTTCATCGTGTTTCGATTCATCTTCTTCCAATGTCTCAAATATGTCCAACACTTCGTGTTCATTTTCATTCAATGTTTCATTGAGCAACGTTTGATTCGATGTTTTTTGTGTTAAATTCAGAATGAGTTCTTCGTCGACAAACGTTTCGTTTGGATCGAATTGCACATTATCCCATTGTTGACTATAAACAGTAGACATTTCGCTCGAACTACGATTCTCCGATGGTTTCATCGTTCTCAAGTGATCAATCATGAATGATGCATCCACTAAGCCGCTTTGGGACACATTTTCACATTCAGCCGGATAGACGGAATTTTGTAAGAATTGATTTAAATTGAATTTACGATTTACATTGCTTCGATTTAACGTTTGATCGAACAAAATACTGTCGGACGATTGTGTCGATGGACTGTCGGCACGGAGCTGCTCTAGCCGACGATTCAACGCGGCCAAATGGAATAGCTCACTGTCAAGCGGTGTCAACAGATCACGGTCTTGGCTTGCCTCTTGTGTTGTTATCAACGGTGGTGGCTGCGTTTTTTTGGACATGGAATAAGGTAGAGAAAAAATGAGAAAATGAGGATTTTTTTTTCGGTGGAAACAAAATTATTCCGAACAGAGTAATGAGATATAATCAAAGAACAAGACGAAGGACGAAGAAAAAGAAAGAAAAACTACATAAAAAGTCGTAAAATGCATTATTCATGGCATGCTATTAACCATTTATGACACAAAACATAAGCACCGAGAAAAAATGGAGAAATTGTTTTTTCTTCTTCTTTCGAAAACAAAATAATAAAAAAAAAGGCTGATTCCAATGTTGTATGCATTGCGAGAAGCGAAAAAAATGTGTGTACTTACCGTTCCATCCATTTTGCTTCTACGACCACGTTCGTCACTCCAAAGAAAAGCGATGCCCGGATTTGCATGTTCGTTTTCTTCTTCCGACATTGAGATTTGAAAGCGATTCAGTATAACCGCCGCACTAAAATCAATCTCTTGCCTCGATGTGGACATTCGATCGATCTTGCGGTCTAGAATTTGATTCGGTTCAACATTTCGAAGTAATTCATCGTCCATTTCAACATTGCCACTTATGCTGAACTCATTGTTTGGTGTGCGTGTTTGTTGACGATAACGAACCAATTTGTTTGGTATATGTAAAAAACTCATGCCATACAAATTGTAATCGATCATAAACTGTAAAATGTATGGTACATGCGATTCATACGGTTGAAATACTTTACCGAGGATAGCACCATTCTGAAGTAAATTCGCTGCACGTTTTATGAATGCTGGATTATAGAAGAAAATTTTCAAAAATTTATGCTCCGTTTGATGGTATCCATAGAAAGGTCTAGAAAATAAACAAAACTCTCGGTCATTGAATAAACAAACACTTGAGATGCGATGACAATCGAATGAGTACTGACATTGCTTTCACTAGAATAATTTTGAATACATGTTGAGCGGATGAATTGGAATTTCCGAGCGAGATATTGATCGCCTTGTCCAGACTCGATGCCAATTGATAGGCCAAACGATCTGATTCGCCGGTCGCATTACCACCAGCAAACGGCACATACAAATATGGGAATACACCATGAACATGCGCACACGTCTTCGTCCCCTTTGAATCTGTTCCGAATATTCGAATTACCGGCACCTAATCACAGTTGGTGGTATTTGTGAGGTTAATTTACATTTAAAATCTTTGAACATTTTTTTTTTTCTTCACTTTTTGAGAGATGCCAAAATGCAACAATTTTGATTAAAGAAACTGAACATTTCATTCAAATGGAGAAAAGTTTTTCTTTTCGTCAAAAAGAGAAAGTTTCATTGAAGAAAAAAAGAAGCCAAAAATCACTTACTTGTTTCACTTCATCGGCACGAAATTCTGAATAGCATGTATCAAGTCCGAATAACGGTGCCTTCATATAGTTGTCAACCGATACGATACGCAATGAGAATACTGCCGAACTCGAATCGGTATCGTTGGAGCTCATGTTTATCTTAGATGGAATTTATTGTCTTCAAAACAAAAAAACATTGCGATCACTCCTTGGTTGAACATTCAAATCACCATGCAAAATGTGGCTTGTGATGCAGTATGTGTGTGACTGTTGAAAAATGCCGGAATCTGACTTACAACCCAAAATTTACAATAACAAAATAAATGTGCCGTATTCAAAGAATGTATGTGGAATAATTATCGTTTGCGTAAAATAAAAACTATTTCACAATCAGCGTTTACTTGTCAAAGCAACAAATAATAATAAACACGCACATACACAAATGCTCGTGAATGAATTGGCGCTTAAAAGTTCCCTTATGTCGGATTCATTAAATGGCACACCGTTTGCTTGTCACAAGAAGAGCAACAACAATAACAGCATCAGCAGCAGCAGCCCAATATGAAGCGGTGTGTGTGTGTGTGTGTATGGGTTGATTCGTGTGTCAGTGGTTGAATGGCGGTACGGACAACTTCACTGCAAACATTCACACTAACCCATCAGATGACAAGTGAAGTGTCAAACTGTGTGAATGAGAGTGTCAGAACAGTCGAAATAGCACATACACACAACGATGTGTGGCACGAATGTTACAGTGTAGAAAGAGACCGACTCAATTGCATGGAATCAAGAGGAAAAAGGACCAAGAAAACGGATAAACATACACATGCGAACGTATGTGAATGAAACAACGACATAAACAGACACAGAGAAAAACGAAAACAAAAAACGAATCGCGCACATTGGAACACTCGGGATTAATAATTCTCTGTTTCATAGTACTGAATTGTGTGCGGCCAACAATTTATTCTTTTTTATTACATTTTGATTCATCATCACATTGATTTAGTAAATATTTTTCGTTTCTGGTTAGTGTATTCCCCAAAAAAAGAAGAAGAAACCAATCAAACCGAATTTAAATTGCGACAAATAAAAATTGAGCTTTCTCTTTTTGTGCAATATCGTACGTAATACCGTTGCTGGTTCAGTTTCACTCTTTCTCGCTCTGTTCCAATTGTTTGTGAACCAAATGTCAAACACACAACTAATATATATATATGTATTTTTTTTTTTATCGACAAAGGAAATGAACTCCAGCATTTTGGGTTGAATTACAAATCAGCTGAATTGTACGACGAAATTAAATTGAATTGTGCATTTTGACCAGTCCAAACGGAACGCGTATTTTGTGTGGACTATCGAAACGGTGAATGATTTCATTCACTAATTCCCGAGAAATTGCCTGTGTATTTGTTCTTAGTCAGACAAAAAACGTTCACAGTAGAACCGAACAATTATCGATTAAAATTACATTGGTTGACAATTAGGCGCGCTACCGCTTCAGCTGATAACAGCACTTTTATTTTGTATGTGAAGTGAATTTAGCCCGTGTTACTTCCGTTCTTTTTCTGATTCACAGTTTTCGTCGGTTCACACACATGTGTGTGACAAGCAAAAAAAGAAAATTATATATTTTTTTGTCAGTTATAAGTTATTCGCAATTCACAGCGAAACGTCTATTTTTAGCGCCCTCCCAAGTTCTTTTGCAATCGGACAGAAAAAAAAAAATGAAACAGTTTCAATGTTAATCCAAATGAACCAACTTTCTGGTGTCATGCAAATAAAATCAGGCTTCGCTTGATGATTCAATACAGTGAATTGAAATTCGCTCATTTTATCGGCGCTGGCAAAAGAATCAATTCTTTCGTGGCTCAGAGCAGAAAAAAAAGCTGAAATTGTCTGAAACAACAGCACAAATCATACACATTAGATGACAATAAATTTCGCTGAGCCACAAATTAGAGCCTGAATCGTGTCAACCATTCATCTTTATCACTCGTTTCGAATCAGTGCTACTGTTTTCCTCTCTCACTCTTGCTCTTCTCTCGGTGTTTATTTTGTTTGCCTCAATTCAAATTATAACTTTCGCTTTGAAAATCTGTCAAGGATGACGGATTTATTAGCGATTCGCATGCAATACACAAAATATTAGTCTCGAGCTGGATCAAAGCAAGTACTTATTTAAATCGATATATTTGCTTTTTGCAATCATATTTTACAGATTCGGTTGCGGTGTGTGTGTGTGTGTGTGTGTGCGTGTCGTTATGTGTGTGACATTCACTAGCCCCTAACTAGAAAGAACAGAAATGAAACATTTATTAATAACACAATATATGTGACGAGAATATTTTTGATACCAACGACATAAAACCAAAAAAAAAAACACCACAGTTTTAGTTAGTAGATAGCAGAAAATAAATTTTTGCCTGCGACGACCATATACCAACAACATGTGATAAAGTGAAAACTAAATGGATTTTGGAAGTTATTCAAAGTTCAACCAAAATTAGATAAAAGAAAATGTTATACCGTACAAAGGGAAAAAAGGGGATAGTGAGAAGCTAGTCATCCACTCTAAATGATTCAAGTGCATTCGTTTTGTTCTATTCATAAGAATTTGCCTGTTTATCACACAAAATCCTGTTGTTCACACATCACTCTGTGAGATGATTTGTTGTCAGCTGCCCAAAGTACTACACAATCAGCGAAAATAACAAGAGAGAGAGAGAGAGAGAGAGAGAGAGAGACAGACAGAAAGAAACAGAACGAATACACATCGAGTACGGAATCATCATCGTTTGTGTTTCTCAACGCTCAATGTTTTCGTACGAATAAACACGGAACAACATTCGATAATTTGGTCGAAGTGAAACAACGGCTTAACGGCGCTACGATAATCAAATAGCTGAAGAACACCGACAATATCGGCAATATTTCCGAAAAAAGAAAAACACAGTGACAATCTCATTCAAAATAAAATACCCAATCGGATTTTGGGCCGTCGACGTGTATTTGTGAATTGGACGCGTATTTTTTTGTTGTTGCTGCGTTTCATTCAAATAACAAAAGTATTTGTTATCGTTCGTTGAAACTCATTTGAACAACATTTTTTTTAGTGTAAGAAACTTTTTGAAGATTCCTTCAGTACCACAATCCCCATCGAAACACTAAATTCGGGTAAGTCATTTTTTTCTGCAACTATTTTTCTATTTTCAATTAGTAAAATCAGATTTTTACATGTGGTTTTGGTCTCTCGCTGTGAAAATTGGTGATTTCTTTGGAAAAAATCTATTTTTCAAGCAAAAATCTCAAATTCCCTAGAAACAAATTTACAGTTCTCTGTGTGATAGCTCGTGACTCACTTTAAATTAATTTTTTTGTGTTAATTTTCGTTTGCCAAATCGTTTTAATTGCGGCCACCAAATTACAAACAGATAAAAATGTTAATTTGCATACGCTGCGGGTTTATTGAATGACATGTCTCGATGTGGATGTTTACTGTTCAGCGTAAATCTGTCTCCGTTTATAAATTCCTACATGAAGCGTTGACAAATGAATGAACGTCGACGCGAGATTATGGAATTCGGGGAGTTTTACGGAAGTAACATCGACTCTTGTGACATCGCACACAATTATTTATAAACAACAAAGATTCGCTCTGGGAAGTTCGAACGTTTCATGGGCGAAACGCCGAAATAAAGACTATGAGGTCAGATACAAGGTTATTTTTTATGACTGGAATCATAGTGCATTTAGAAGATTTTGGACGCAAAACAAATCGAAATTTATTTCCAACGGAATGGAAATTGACACCATTTAGAGAAGAAGGAAAATAGCAACAATTTGAAGAGCCAAAGAAACGAAATGAGAACAAATGTGAAAAATGCGTATGGAACCAGTTTGGAAAGAAGAAGGACAAATGAAAAAGACGAGACAAAAATCAGAAGGAAATGCAGGATCAACTTTATTTGGCAAATGAAAAGGGAGTCCTTCCATTTCAATGTCAGCGAAAGAAAGTTCCCATGGTACTGGCAAAGTTCATATGAATTCAAATCGGCTTGCAAATTCTATCGCTTCGTTCAAACTTCTTCAATTCCACGTTGTTGGCTTATCGAACAATCGTCTTGATGCCAGCAGCTCGATTGCCTCAAGTGGCATGTCACAAAATCATAAATTTCATACTTTAATCGAACGAAAACCGTGAGCGCGTTTCAATTTCAGGGTCATTGTTATCAACACATACACTCGCCGACACATGTGTTCGTGCTAACAATTGCCATTGTTTTTTTTTTCTTGTTCTATTTAAGCTCGGATTTGGTGTGTACAATGTACATGGCGTAAAATACGGTGGAAGTGTTATTAAAAGTAGAAGGCTTCGTCACGTGTGCAAATGCACATGTTCCGTTTTATGCAGGCCGCCATATTTCACTCGTTCGCTCAACCATCCACACATAATGGAAGTAGTGAACTTGTGCCAGAATTGTTAACGGCTTTCGCGAAATAATGATTCATCGCCAGCTAAAAATAGTATCCGAGTTTTTTTTTCAGTAAAACGTTACGCTCATACGATTTCATAGTGCAACGGATGATTTGCTGCGACCATCGCCAAAAAATTTGTCAACCATCAATTTCTCATTGAAAGAAGAGCGAATTTGAGAAAAAAACAAACAAATAAAAATGAAAAAAAAAAAAATAAGAAAAAAAAAACATGAAAATGTCTCACAAATTACGACCATCCAAAAATGTTTGCTAATGACCGAATGTCACACCGTTATATCAGCAATGAATTGAATTAATTGAAGAATTATCGAGTCATGAATGTCAAAAGTAATGGTTGCAATTCATCAAAAATACTTTGGTAATTGATTGCAATTCATCGATATAAATGTCAAAAAATCCAAAATTTAAAACCAAAAAAAGGGCAAAAACATAATAAACCCACTCAATTGACGGCTCATTTTCTATGGGGTACCAATTTTTGGTCAATTAAGCCCGTTGTATGACACCACATGATTAACCGTTGCTTGTTTTTTGTTCATTAACACAAAACGAGTCGAAAAATACTCGATTCGCTTGGACTACAGTCGTATTCACGGAAAAGGTGTATGGAAATGTTATCAGTCACATGAAATTCCATAAAATTTGAACTCAATTTTATTTCTTGTTGATAACAATAACGTCTATCTTTTATGAACAAACGCCTCCTTAATAAATAAATATGAAGGTTTAGTTTTTTGTTTCACTTGATCATTTTTGAAAAAAAAAACAAAATTGATTTGGTGAGAAAGGCTGGAGAGATAATTGGAGAAAATGAAATAAGTAAATTCTTCGCAATCACAAGCCAATGCAAATCGCATTACCATGCAATTGACTGTGTCATTAAAATTTTAATAAGAATTTGTCAATCGCCATCAAAATTCGTCGCAAGTAAATGCTTCCGAAACAATCACGTCCTGAGCAATTGATTTTTTGGCAAAAAGTAGAAGAAATCATGTCAACGGTGTTCAAATGGTTGACAATCAATACGCGCACACTGTTCACGTTGTTCACTTTTGAATCTAAGAATGTGTGCGTTGGGCTACAATGGACTCGTTATCTAATCAGTTGATATTTCTTAAAAAAAAAAGAACGACGATAAAAATCTTTCCGTAAATATTCACGTATACATTGACAATGTGCCTAGAATACCAAAAAAGTTATGCCAACATCAATGCATTACACTTAATTTTAATTGCTCTCGTCATTACCTCGACCGCAATTCGATCGAAATGTTGCACTTTGCTGTTAATGCGAAAGAGTGTTGCTACCGAAACAACAGCGGTGGCGATAGTGACAGCCAGTGGTTGACTGTGACAACCGTTCAAATTGTCTTCCGTGTCTGCTCTGTCTGTGAAATCACAAAATAGGTGTGATTGTTGTTGAGCTATCTTGTCGAGATAGCCAATAAATTTGACATGCATTTTACCAAACCGTCCATCGTGTGCCAGTGTGTGCGTGCATTTGTATTGGTTTGACTATCAAATATGATAAGTGAAACATGCTCTCTCTCTCTCTCTCTCTCTCTTGCTCACCCTCTCACTCTGTTGCCTGCTTTGGATACGATTTGCTGTTGTTGTTTGGTTCATAGACGACATTTACTTTCTTTCCAATTGATTGGCGCTGTTTCCGCTAAGCGTTCAGTTATCGGTGTTCAATTGATTAGTCAATTTCAACCACTCACTGTTCTTTGTCCGAAATCGAATGTTTTGAAACCGTGTGTCGCCGCAAATAATAATTTTCGAGAGAAAGACAACGACAACGACAACGATGACAACGCAGAAAAAAAAAACAGCAACAAGCACCTGTCTGAAACTGACATTTGCGTGATCTCTTCTCAAGTCTCGAGTGCTATTTAGAACAATTCGTTAAATCTTGTTTATTTTTTGTTGTTGTGTCATTTGATTTTGTGTGAACATTTCGTTTTATTATTCCGTGTGTCGCGTGTTTTGTGCAATCGGTTAGAAATCGAAAGTGTGGAAGATGCATCCAAAAATGCATCAATAGCTCCGTCAAAATGACTCACAAACGCATTTATTTGATCAGTGATTCAGTATTGAGCTGATATTAGGCCCGTACGTAGCATTGACTGACATCAATTCGTAACCTGATACACAATTCAGTTCATTATTTCGATACACAGTTCGTACCAATAGTGTTGAGATTTTCAACAAATAGTTGGAACAGTGCTGAGAATGAGAATGAATGCAATATTTTTGCTTGTTTGAATAGTTGCAAGTTCTTCTTTTTAATTGAAGAGTTGAAAACTCTTCTTCTTCCAAATAGAACAGAGAATGTTCTTCATTGTCATGACCGCTTCTTTGGTGCGATCCGTATCTGATATCGGGCAACAGGAAAAAAAAACAATCTTTGATGTATGTCAACACTTCGGAAAATAACCACAAGTGGAAATTCAATATGGCGACCCGTTGATTCATCGATAATTTTACATTCAAAATATACACGAAATGATTGTTTGAACCGCGCGAACTGTCACGTATGAATGGCTGTCATTCTTTTTCGTTCCATTCCTTTTTGCCGCAGCATTTCATCCAATGTAAACGCAATTTCACGCGCTTCATCGTCCAAAATCATTATTTCAGCTCCACTTGTTACATTTCAAATAAACTGCTACTCAAAGAAGTAAGACGTTCATTGAACGTCGTTCAATCGGTTCAACAGAAATTCTATTTCGGGTTCACTCTTTGCGTACAATATTGAAATACAAAAAAAAAAATGGCATTTTGTGTGCAAACTGTTCAAGAAAAAGAATGAGAAAAAAACAACATAAATATGACGCCTTAATTCTCAATTGGCTCTTGACATTTCCCACGTACCGACTACGATATTACGTACTAAATTTCCTATTTAATTTTATCTCACTACACAAACACTTGAGATGTGTATGGAACTATTGCGCCTCGCAAACAATGCCGAACATTTGGCCAGAAGTCGGCTTGTAAAGTTTTTATTTATTAAATTAATAATTTTTACCACATTTTCGTCAATTCTTTTTTTTTTAAATTTGAAAGACAACACTTTGAAGGCAATTTTACCTTGAAACGGAATTTTTCCAACAACGAAGTTTTTCTACACTTTTTTTTTCCAAAGACAATGGGCGTCTGAAGACAAAAAGACGTGGGTTTCTTTGATAAAATAATCCCAAATTTAATCTTCATAAGTTGATTTCAACATCGAAAAAGGGAAATCTTCCACACTTATTTCATTTCGTGTCTAACATCTCGAAATAATTCAATGATTGTTAGTCTGATAATAATCCCTAGCTCATTCCTAAGCTAAGAAGCAAGGAACAACATTTCGACAAAACTATTCAAGACTTTTAGAAGAAATATTTGAAATCATATGTTGAGCTCGGATTTGAAATCAATTCTACGATTGTCCGGCTGAAGCGTATGAAGCGCTTGGAATGAAAAAAACAAATGCATCGTTGAGTGGATTTTATCGTCGATTTGTTTCGAAAATATTTCCGTATATTTTTCAATTCCTTATTTTCCATAGAAAATTGGTTCCGATGCACTTTTCATTGCCGCATGTTTCATAAGAGTGTGAGAGCAATGAATGATTCGTTTGTTTCAACGCAAAACCTCCGCTCGTTGTATCAATGTATCGAACTGAAATCGATGTATCAAATCTTTTGCTCGTTCATTTTTCCACCGATTTTTGAATAATTCTCTGATTTTTTGTTTTATTCAGACCGCAACAGTTGTTGTGGTGAAATTTGAATTATATCTAGCCTTAGCAAAGGATATCTGCGGCGTCGTGTGCGCAACACGGTTTTGATTACAGTTTGTTTTGACGTGGTCAAACCAACAACAACAGCAATAAATCAGAATCGTTTCATTTGAAGAAAAAAGAAAAGAAGAAAAAATACGAAAAAAAACTAATTCGGCAAACACTTAGACGCGTTTGACGGGCGAAAAGCGAAAAGAATTCTTGTTAGTGAAAAGTAATATTCCAATCTCTATTCCCACTACAATCAGCTTGGGACAGAGAAAAAGGGATAAAGTGGGTTGTCTAAATGAAAATGAAAAAAGTGCGTCGAATATTTAAGCTGCGAAATTTTGCACGCAGTCAAATCGATCCGGAGCGATTGCCATTGTATCAGCAGGCATCGACATCGTCGGATGTTCGTGATCGTTCGCCCAGCATTGATAGCATTAGTACAAATTCTAGTTCAAGTTCAACACAAACGCGACGATCGTTCCGTAGCTATGGCAGTTTTTTACCCAATTATTTTAATATATTGCGAAATTCACTGCGCCGCTCAAATTCATCACAGGTAAGACGGTGTCAAAAATGTATCTCTATATGTGTATGCTTCGTTCTTACCCAACGATAGAAACCATACTGTCCCATGAATCACAAATCAAAATCGAACGAAGCAGAATAAAACGAAATCGGAGCACGAGTCTTCAATGGAGAATCTTCATTAAAATTAATTCCATTTGAAGGCGATAAGCTTGTTTGCTCTAGAACTAAACTTGATCTAATTGCGTACAGAAACACATTCGGCTCGAAAGAGAGCAATTCAGCAGCGGAGCACGGAACGCTATGACCAAACTAGCTATCAAAGCCAACAGTTAGGCAGTCCCGCAATGGAATATCAAAATCGCATTCAAACAACAACAAAGAGCTATTCACGCTCTTAATTCTCAAAACAATATCACCAATAAATATTGATTGTATGCGCGCATCTATGCCGCATAGCTAATTGGCTCATAAAAAAAATTAAATAAACGCCAAACTAATGCGCGATCGCACACACTCACCCAATCATATAACAAATGAGAATGTTTTGGGATGAATGCGCGTTTTGTTTTGTCTACTTGCTCTCTGTAATAACTAGTTTGCTCATTTGTTTAAGATGATGCTGATGCCGCGCGCGGCGCGCACTTTGATTTTGATGTGTATACACTTTTGTTCTTTTTTATGTTTCATTCGTTTTCGCCTTGTCTTCAATGTTCGCTCCTCAATTGGCGTGTCATTTTTATTTATACATTTAAACGGTTCGGGAATTTAAAATCGTGTGCACGAACAATGAAATCAGAAATCAGTTAGTTGTTCAAACATAGTCAAATCGTACATTTCAAACTCTTTTCTTTCTTTGATTTTTTTTGACGATCCGTTCTGTTGCCGTTGGCTAACAGGAAATTAAACAAAAAATAACGCGCGCGCATTTTTTTCCATTTGAGTTTCGCAAATGTTGAGTTAACTGCAATCCCCAAATCGTTTGCATACGAGGATCTGTTTTTTTTTTTCGTTCCGAGCGGCCCGTTATCTTTCAAGTTGAAAAGTGAATTTGCTGTGGTATTGAGAAAGATATCGAGCGAAAGGGATAGATCGAAATCGAGGAAAAATTTGAGTGAGAAAGGAAGAGAGAGAGACAGAGGGAGAGTGAGAGAGAAAAGGAGAGTGAGGGATCGTGCAAAAAAGAGAAGACGTGAAAAGAAGAGTTCGAAAGACATACAGTGAAAAACGAGGAAAAAAAACAATAGATACCGTGTGAGAACAAGAAAAAATCCATATATTTTTTATCAGCTGGATTCAGTTGGATGCTGAAACGCACCGAATTTTTTTTCTCTCCGGGAAATTCCAATGTAGAACAAGGGAAATCAATAATCTCCCTCTGAACGGATTGTGTGATAGCACCAAAGCTGAACAAACATCGATCCAAATGGGAATTGCTTAATAGTGTTTATTGAGTATGATAGCGAAAAATGTGCGAAATAACGGTCTTATAAACTGTTGCGCACACATACGATCCGTGGTAGTGTTGTAAATTTCGTTTATCGAGCCAGTACATATCAAACCTGAACACAAGCAGCATTCATTTTCGCTCAATCTCTGCAGTCGGATACAATATCGATCCAGCTACAACGAAACATTCGCATTAAACAGTTGAGCAAACTGGAAAAAATATGTTTAAACACAAAGTCAAACCTACCACATCGAACACCAGCAATCAGGTAATCAATCCCGTCGATTTGAATTACCAACCAAGCTAGATTTGTCGATGGAAGCTTCGATACATCGTCAATGTTTTATAGACAAGGGCATTCAAACCAAAAGTCATCACTAAATTACAATGAGAACGATCATCCTTTGGATAGTACAAAATTGTTGATTCGACGACGTTTCACATCACTCAAACTCAGAAGCGGTCTAATTCAAGTGTTTGGATCAAAGATCAAATTCTCGAATCCGTTTCATTATTTTCGACTTGAAGTACGAAAATCGCCCAATTTATGGCCAAGAAACTTGATACTGATCGATAAAAATACTGTCAATCTCATCGTATTTTGCCAGATTATGTGTCTGAGCAAGATTGTTTAGAGATGGGCGAGATTTTCATCACGTGAATGTTTGTTTTGTGTGTCGCGTTCTATTTTTTTTTTGTGTGCCGCAAACGATGAAAAAAAGTCACATCATCAGTCATAAAATTTCTATTGATTTCATCGCGCAAAACTGATTACAGAAACGTTCTTCGTTAAATGACTGTCGGTTCCTTATCGTTTTGCCAAGCAAAACAATGTGCGGTATCGTTCAAAACCATCGCGCTACGTCACTAGATTTCGTTTAAACGATTGAATTTCAATGGCAATTCCACACTTAAGCGAAATTTCTTTATTTCAACTCCATTACCATATGTGATACATATACATTCAATTGAATTAATTTTGAATCAATTGAATCAAATTAGTTTGTATTCGTTTCGCATTTGCAAATGAATATGTATTAGAAAATTAAATATACACAAGCATTTTTTTTTTAGTTCACGATTCTAATCGCTTATCTCTATTTCCCTATTGCAGGTAAGCATATATGGCGCAGCGGCTATTTCACCAATACATGAACTTTTAAAGAAAAAAATAAATAAGACAAAATCATTTGACATTTTTGCGTAAGTTTCTATTTTATTAGTTTCTATGATTTGATTTTGCATCAGTTCATAAGTGACAATTTGTCGAGGGTCTTTGTGTTTTGTGCATTTTTTTTTAATTACATTTTTTTCATTTGGATTGAGACCGTGTCCATACATTTTGATCTTTGACGAGTCGACAGTTGAAATAGTTTCGTTTTTTGTTCACCATCAAAACAACTGTTTTTCTTGTGTTGTGAAGTTCAGCATCGTTGGTAGCAGTTGTTTTCAACACCTTCCACTGTCTCGAACCATTTTAGCAAAAGAAGAAGAAGGAAAAATTGAAAAAAAGTAAAAAAAAGAAATAAAGAAGAAAAGAAAGACAAACAAAAGTTAGTAGAAAAATCAAAAAAAAAAAAAAATTACAATTCAATGGAATAAATTGAAGATGGGATGAGTGTGCACCCTTTGCGCAACAGTTTTATTTGCCAGAATCAGCATAAAATTCTGCATCCATATTTTATTTACACACCCAAATACAATGAAATGATGTCAACACATGCACACTACCGCTAATATTGAACAATCCACTGCTAACCAAGGGAAAAAAAAAACAACGAACTAAACCAGACTAGACCAAAAATCACATACCAAACTAAAAATCGATTGCAAAAAAAAAACGCATACAAAATAAGAGTAAATCGATGAAAAGGGTTACAATTGGCCAAACTGAATGCAACGAACCGACGATGCCAAATCCGCAAGAAGAGAATTATGAGCACATAAAAGCCCTAGTCCGTGATTTGCATATCACCCGAAATGTTGCACGTCCCGAGCGTTCCAGTGGAAATCATGTCCACCAGCCTGTGTCCAGCACAGTGACCGCATGTAAAAATGTTTCTCTTGCACAGAAATTGGTCGTGCAACAACTGTGTCCGAACGGGCCACGCCGTGCCACCATCGATAACACGGATTTTTATATCGAGGAAGAGGATGAAACTAGCGACACAAATACAAGCTCGTTGGACATCTCACTAGTGTCACCATCGACAATTCAAAGTCCAAAACGCATTCACAATGGTCATATCAATGACAAAGGATCCAATACACTTGAAGCCAATTTCAGCATACCCGCCGTTGTGATCACCGATGTCAACGAACCCGTCGATTTAATCACCAGCACACAACGACGCTTCTCACAACTTTACTCCGGCCTAAGACGATTCTCAACATCGCACACGGTAGGAATATGGCAAAAAAAAAAACAAACAAACAAAAAACACATACTGACCCCACTCCGATCAGCAGCACGTGATCGAGCTTTGTGTGTTGTCTGATCGATGTACATAAAAAAAAAATCAGAACCAATTTTTCAAATCTAACTTCAAGTGAGCTTGTGTTTTTTTTTTTCTTTGGAATAATAAAAAAAAAGTAATTTCACAGCCCCCCTGGCACACACACACAAACTAAAATCTGTGGATAAAAAAAAACCGAGCGCAACTCATCATGACAAAATACACGCAAACAGACACCACGTTGAATAACACGTTTTGTTGAACACGGTAACCCAAAAGGCCCGAACAAGGTACTTGCACTGCGTACTATTTTCTCAAAATAGAACAAAAAACAATAATAATTGTCATCTCGAGGACCGAGAACTGACTCTGGCGAAAATTAAAACACCTTAAACAGACTGGAAACTGTCTCGTAAACAGGGGAAAAAAAACTGTAGAACGGAATAACACAACTAGAAATGGGTTTTTGCTAACAACTGCTTCCCCACTTACCAAAAAAAAAAAAAAAAACAAACAAACAAGAAAAAAAAACTGCTCGACTGACACTAGCATTCTCGTCTCTATTTTTTTTTCTCTATTCCCATACTAAAAACAAATCGACACTAATTTTTATTTTGTTCATGCATATTTTTTTTTCCGCTATAAATTCCATTGATTCTTCGAACGCATTCCATTTTGAAGTGTAGTTGATCTAATCGATTGATTCGAAAAATCATTGAATTAGTTAGTTGGTTGTAGTTAATTTGCTGCTTGATTAGTTTGTGCTGACACGCGCGAAAAAACAACCACAATTCGTTTTCGGCTGAATTGACAACTTGTATAACATAAATGATGTCGACGAAATAGGGAGAAAAAAAAATCCCGTAAACAGATTGCAATTTAAATAATTTTTCTTCGAAAAATAGAATGATTGTTTTGTTTATGATTTTGGCATATTTCACTGTGACGGAGCCGACAGCCGTGCGGTCACATCGAATTGATCGAAGCTCTTGAAAACAAGTCTAATTGATCGAATGACTCAAAGTGTTAATAGAATGACTGAGTGATTCGCTAGCAGTAAAAAAATTGAAGTCACACATTCGTTTGAAGACGGTTCGAATTTCGATTTGGTCGATATCATGATGATTCGATCGAATTCGAAAGAGAGAACAACGACAAACGAATGTTTCTTTACGATTGTCCAAACGGGCGGCTTGTTGTTGCCCAAAGGCCTTTGGTTTATTTCATTTATTCTCTCGTTCTTTGGCTAAATCACGCCAACAATTTGACACTAATTGTGAATTTTGTTTCGATGCGTCTCAAGGATAATTCATTCCATTTTTTTTTTCTCTTTCTCAATCCATATGTGTGTGGGCATCAAATAGACACAAATTCACTTCGCTGCAACAAATGAGATTATGAAAAATTACCAATGCGCCAAAATTATTCGTCAATTTCCATATGCATTAAATCACGCACATAACGCAACACGTAAATTATATTCCGATTTCTTTGTTCGTTCACACGCGCGCACGCCACTTACTCTCTCTACACACATTCTATGCACTGCCGACAAAATACTCAGCTCTCAATAACACACAATTGCTCGTGTCTAATACACCCAATAAAATGCAATTAATATATCGTTTTTTTCTCTCTCTCTCTCTCTCTCTCTCTCTCTCTCTCTCTCTCTTTCATTGTTGTTGTTGTTGGTCGTCGTTTTTGTCGGGCTGAACTATGTCGTCGACTTTGTCAACTTCTCTACCTGCATCGTTCCGTTTTGTGTGTGATTGGCGCATTGGTTGAATGAATGGTGAACCTTTTTGTTTTTGTTCGCATTCATTCATAATTCGTTTTCGGTGTGCATCGCAACAACTACTATCGGCAAATATTTCAACAAGTTCATTAATTGTCTCTCACTCATTCACCGACTTAATTACGATTGTCCCCTTTTCCTACTTTTTCTCTGATTACTGCACACACACACACACACACACACACACACATTCTTTTTTCACGCTCTCTGTGGTGTCGTTCACTATTAAGCCCGTTAGCAGCCGCTGCTCATTTCTTCGTTTTTTTGCTTTTTTCACAATTCAATTAATAATTTATCGCTTGTCTATTCTAATACTAATTCGCTTTTATTTCAGTTAGTCGGTGGCTTCGGCTCAATCCACAATACACACGATAGCACTCTAGTTGTGGTGATTTTCTTTTAAAATTTCAATTCAAATTCGTGGTGGTATCGCTACTCAATCGATGATACGTATCATTTCTTTCTGGTAGAATTTTCGCTTGTTTTTTCGATTAATTTGCATCTTTTTTGAATAAAGAAGAAGTTATTGTATTGTATTCAAGTTGCTGATCTAATTCGCGCCGCTACACATAAACAGTTTTATTCGCGAGTTCAACACTATTTCACACATTATCCACATTTCTTCGGTGAACAGTAAGTTAGCATAATATTTTTTGGGCATTTTGTGCTTTGAATTCATTTTATTCATCAACAAATGAAGCAATTCGTCATATTCGGTAAATTTACTCGTATCGAAAAGCATTTCAGGCACTTCGGAATGCATATAAAAAGAATAAAACATTGTCATCGTCTTCAGTTTCGAAAAAATGGATCATCGCCTTCCATTTTGGTCATTTAGAATTCGACTAAAAGCAAAAAAATATTTAATTAGTACCCAAAGATAAATATTTCGGTTTGAAAATATTTTTAATTGTTGTAAACATCTACATTTGTTCTAAACAGTTACAAGTTTCAGTACTCAGTCTGTAGAGTTCGACAATGTCGAACTTTAATATATGAGCTGTACACAGCGTGGAATTCTTGAATAATTTGAAGATTTCGGAAAAAATGACGAATAACATTTTCTGGTCCAATTTTTTAAAAAATTATTTGGAACATTTCATCCAAAAAGAAATTCATTTCAATAAGAATAAAAAAAAATAATAATATGAAAATCGTCTTCAAAATGGACTTTGCCCCAAAAAATAGCCGTTCTTCATTAAACTAGTTAAAATATGTTTCAAAATATTACCAGAAAACAAACAAACACACACGTTTCGTACATCGTTTCGAAAAACGGTTCTTCTTTCCCCCGCAAGTCAATGTTCTATTCGGCCCATTTCGTTTCGTTTTTTTTTTTTTTATCGATAATGCAAATTTTTCTGTTTGTTTCCATGATTTCAAGTCATTTATTGTGAATATTATTGCGTTTCCGCATAGATAGTATGCAAGGTAGAGAATTACGTATATATCATTGATGATAATTTTCCAACAGCTTTTTATTTGTTTGTTTTGAGATGTATCTCAGTCGGTCGGTTGATCGCATTGCTTTCGATGAAAAAAGCTGTTGCATTCGCAAAGCTTTGCGATCGCACACTAAACTTATTGCATCAGAAGTCGTTTCGGGCGGCAATCTATTGTGAATTGTGATGTTTTGCGCGTAAAAAGCTCAAGTTTCATTTTCAATCGATTCAAATGTTTTCCGATGACAACCTCAGCATAAGTGACGAACGTTTTCAATCAAAATTGAATTGATTTATCTTGTCTTGAAATGCATAAATTGTTAGAATTTGAAATATTCTCGATTGAAACCGAATTTTATTTTTTACATTCTATCATCGACCCAAAATTTAATTTTTTTTATTGTCAGGGTTACAGTTATTTACAGGTTTTGTTATTTTAATATTTAACATTATTGATCGGTTAAAAAATTAGCAACACAAAATTGGAATATCAGACATTTCATTTATTGTTGAAAATTATATCAAAGTTTGATAAAATCAATCGATTTTCGTTGCTTTTTATTCGAAATATTTAAATTTTGAGATAAACAAATGAAGATTAAGAAGAAGTTGAATGAAAAGATGCAAATTTCCGCAGACGTTTCACGTCCGTTTATTTAATGTGCCTTCAAAAAAAAACTTGGAGCAATTATGAAAATGGAAAAGAAATACTGTCCGTTGGTGTTGGTGTTGTTTGATAAAGAGGATTTGCAAGATCTATATCGTTCATTTTATTCGTTTTTAATGATTTTTTTCTCTTTTTTTATTTGCATTTAAATTGCTTGATTATGTCCATATGTTCATCTTCTACATTATGTGCCATAATTTGTGGCTTCGAACCGAATGCGTGGAATATGATGAGTAAATGGTAAAAACGATGGCACAGCCTCCAGAATCAATGAAATAGTTGTCTTTCATTAACCAATCAATGAATTAGTCACTCTGCGTCGTTGGGGATTCCCCATTTATGTGAGTCAAATCGAATGCATTTCGTCAATGCAAATCAACTTGATTTCTGCCATAAAAATTGGCATCGATAAAAAACGACATTAAAAACGACCAACAAACGTTTATCCAGTTCGTAGGTGGAAAAAAAGCGCATTCATGATATAATCACAAAGACGAAGACGCGCTGTGGTGCATCTCGGAACCTCGATGCAATTGAAGTCGAATGTAAAAAGAGAAGTTTATTTATAGCCGAAGCGAAAAAAAATATATTACGTATTTGGACACTGACCTTTCAAAATTCAGCCGGTGGATTAAGTGAAAAAAAAAGAGCAGAGCAAAAAGGTACCGGTTACATTTGAAAACTAGTTTTTAAAGCGGTCGAGTACCTCACACATGTATTCATTTTTGTAATAGCAAAGGATGAACGAAAAGTGAAACATTGGCGTGCGTTCAAGTTGTGCATTTTTGTTGTTGGACAAAAACGCATATTCTTCGTCTCTTACGATCTTAGATTGCGTTGATCGAGTGGCTCTGGCTCTTCTTCAATGCGACTAGCCGAAGCGATATGTATGCCGTCGAAGAAAAAAAAAACCCTCAAAATGAAGAACAAAAAATACTCAGAACACAAAGAAGAAGAAAAAACACTGAAAATAATGAGCAAAAAAACTTGTTCGACTCCGTCTCGAATCGAGCAATTCTCAAAAGGGAATTCGTCTCAAGTGGATTAAAGTCAAATGACAAAAAAGGCAATTAAATTATGACCATCATAATATGACGATTGCAAGCAAACACACACAACACGATGGAATCGAAATCAAACGAAGAATTTTTACGAACAATACACTCCAAAATTGAGATATTCAAATTATTTTTTATCATTGTTTTTGGTTATTTTAGTCGACGGATCACATGTTGACCAAAGGCCAATTACATGGTCTCAATACTGGTTTCGAATAAGCACAATTATATAAAAAAATATCATTTCTATCTTTGGCTTGTTCCAAGTCTAAAAATGATCACACTATCAATTCAAATTTAGTTAAACTTCATTTGCTTGACTATGGTTTTCTTCGAAAGAGAAAAAAACATTTCACACAATTGAATCGATCGATTCAATTCGGTCATGCACCTGGAACAGTCACCGAAAAAACTCTATTTGCTGAACATTTTGCAAATGAGCTTCTTTTGTTTAGCTGATTAATTTGCTCAAATTCAGATGAACAATGCATCGAAAGCCGGAATAAAAACCGCGATGAAGCGGTAACGAAGCGAAGTCTTTGAGCTGAAGAAGAAATTCTGAGCGAAAAAAAAGAAGGAGATAGAAAAAAAAAGCAACGCGAAAAAGTAGCAACGCGTCAAGTGTGTGTTGAGCGAAAAATCAAATGTGCAGTCAGCGCCGTTCACATGTATGTGTATGTGTGTGTGTGTGTGTAATTGTGTGCGGTGGTTGGGTGCTGCGGACCACGTACTTATGCTTCTTTTTCGTTCATATTATCAATTCATTTTGCTACGGCATGTCTTCAAAGTTTGACGTAAATAAGGAAAAACACACAAAGTTCGGGTTGTGTGTGGCGGCTGTTGGTATTTCGGTGTCTTCGCGCGCGCGCGCGCGTTTATTTGCTTTCTCACTATTGCAACGGCCAAATCTTTCCCTTTCGAAATCGTCAAGTTGTGGCCGATTGCACAATTCAAACACACGAAACGGACTGATATAAAAGAATCATTTACGAATCACTTGTCACTTTTGTACCGCCTGCCGCCGTCAACGACAACCACGACGACAACGACAACGACACAATCGCACCTAATGCAACATTGTTCAGGTTCAGCGCGCGCACACTCTCGCTTGTTATCTCTCGATCGTGGATTGTTTACCATACAAAAGATCACGTTTGGGTTGCGCTTCTTGAAACAGACGAAAAAATAAAACAAAACTTTCAAACGAAATTCCAAGATAAATTGTGTTTAGTGTTTTAGTTTTTGATTGTTGCTCATTGTTTTCTCACGTGTTTATCAAACGAACTGAAATTTGTGCGCGTTTCATATCATAACGAACTGCAAAAAAAAAATTCACACAAAAAAAGTTCAACGGATTCCACGGACTACGACAAACAAGCTTGTTCGAATGCCATAAATTACCAAAACTCCGATTCGATTGGAAAACACAACAATCGATCGTTTGTTTGTTTTCTTTTTATTAATTTTTTTTCCATCGTTTGTTGCACAATGCGCGGGTTCACTGGTCCAATTGAAGAGATTATTCTCAGTGTTTCACGGCTGAATTTCTCCGAACTATCGTCGCGTTACACACGATCGCGCTCGAAAGGTGTTAGTATATCAGTTGTTTGGTGGTTTTTCTAGAGTTTTCATAAAGAATTTGTCAATGAATTTTAGTTCGGAAATTCACATTTGATTGAGAACTTTCAATTGATCGAAATTTTTCGATTTAAATTGATCAAAAATGAAAAAAAAAAAACATTTGGAAATCAAAATTTTCATCACATTTAAATGTACAACACTTGAACAATATTTTTGGCTTAGTTTTTACTTAGTGTTGCGCTAGGCGCAGAGAAAAACGAACGTTCCTTTTACGTTTAAAAATAATTAAAGAATTATTTAAAGGTTATACAGATACGCGACAAATAATCGACGGGATGTGTTTTTTCCAACGGCGAAAACTCTCTGTAGTTCACTCATCGGAACACAAATTGAAATTGAATCGTTTGCTCGAGCACTTAGCTTCGAATCTGAGAGCGAACTCTCATCATACAAACTGCGACTGTTTTTTTTTTTCGTTCGTTCGCATCAGCAATTAGCCATGTTCCAATTCTAGAGCGCAGATTTAGTTTGCTTATTCGTTTGACTAGTGAGTTCCATCGAAATATTTTTTCTCATCGTTGTGCTAGCGAATGGAGTATTGGCAAAATGGTCAATTGAAATGAAAATTGGATGAAATTGCTAGATTTTGTTTGATTGGACTAAAAAAGGTGATTCCAAATTAAAAAGTTGAACATCGGAATTCGCCGATCGTATCGGAACATCTCTCTTTCGAATAAATGTGTAATTTATCTCAGATGGCGATGACGACGACGATGAAATAGCTTAACGCGAATTCAAATGCCTGTATCAATGCTAATTGAAGTAGAAAAATATGCATTTATATGATCGACATTACCATATAGACGCAACATTGGAGCGACAACACACCATTTGTGCTCGTTGATCGTAGACGAACAAAAAAAAAAGTCGTCGAATTTGTGCGCGGCGGCGCTCATTCGCCAAAAACTACTTGAAAAAATTGAACATTTGTAATGTAAATGGCGATTAATTGCAATTATGAGTGTTTAGTTATGAGTAATTAATAAGTTATCTATTTGAAAATCGTTGTTGTTTTAGATTTGATTATCGTTACAAGTCCTTGCCATTTTCATATCAGAAATGAACACACACGAAAAAAAATACGATCGACAATTGAGAACTTTTATCTGTCTGTTTGACAATTATTTTTATTGTTGTTATTCTTGTCCGCTCATTCACGCGCAAACGCGATTATTTGTAAAACAATTTCGATTTTGAATGTCTTACACATGTTTGACACTCTCTGTCGTCTCATTCAAAATGTGTTGAGTAAACAACAGGTAGCAAACGGCTGTTCTTTTTTTTTTTCCGTTGTTGTTTTCACATTTTTCTAGTTGTTCTTGTTGTTGTTGTTGCTTGTCTGATAATGGCTCATTTATTTTATCGAATTGCAATTTACACTTGAGCCGAATTTTCTAAATGGCGCGCACAACCATTAAAACAATCAATCGAATCTATTGCCGATCGATTGTGATTAGAGAGACTCAGAAAATGCAAAACATATTGTCGGATTTTCATAAATTAAAACACGAAATAGTATTATGCATGCTTTTCGCCCCATGTGTTTCAAAGTCGATCGAATTCACAGTAAATGTTTTCTTATTCGAAGGTGAGAAACGTTTGCTTTTGCCCCCAAATATTTTAGAATGCAGTAAATTTACATATGGCTGCTATTTTTGTTGCTCTGCTGCTGATCTTGTTGTTGTTGACAGAGAGTTGGAAAAGTGAGCTGGTGTAGGATGCGCCAAGATAATTGCGTGTTGAATGTTTTACATTTTCAGTGTGTTTACATTCGTACACAGCATGACAATCGATATCCGGAACAACAAATCAGAAATGCTTGAAAAACGCACATTCGCTGTCCTGGTGGACAACTTGAAATATTGTACGCAACTCGCACTCTCTTTTTCTCTCTCTCCCTCTCTCTCTCTCTCTCTCTCTCCGTATCTTTCCGAACGAGAGAAAAAGCATAAAATACACGTCTTTGGCCGAAACATTGAAACACTAAACGTGGCTCATTAATTTTGTTATACGCGTTTGGCGTCATCAAATGGCGCCTTGTTCCAGCTAGTCATTACGCGATTTATTACTCGATGCCTTCTTCCTCCTGAAATTAATAATATTTGTAATCGAAATGACAATCTGATTAATTGCTTATTTACGCTACTTATTAATTTATTAGTGGATGCATTCGAGATATTTTATTCAAATGATCGCTAACAAATTAACGTTCGTGTCGGAAGGCTTTTGAGGGTTTTTCGCGGTTGCTGTTGTTGTTTCTTTCGTAGACGATAGACAATTTTAGCAATGTTATTTTCCATTTTTATTTTTTATTTTCATTTATTTCCCTTTCTTTTTTACATTTCATTTACTTTGAAGTCAACTTTATGTTTTTTTCGTTTAAATCATGTTTTCTTTTTTTTGTTGTTGGATAATTTTCAATGCAATTTTCACAACCATATATAATAGCCGCTAACTGATCTCTGTTTCGTTCATTCTCCGTTCAGACATTAAATCGGTGTGGTGATTCGATGGGTACACTGGGTCATCGTGCTTTATTACAATACATTGAGTCAAATGATTTATCCGGTCTGAAGACGTTTCTTGACACACGTCAAATACCAGTGGATGATCGAGATGAAGTAAGTATTGGTATATAAAACATTTTTCTCCTTTTTTTCGTCTTAATTTTGGATTCTTCATGAAAAAAAATTTATTTCACATGAAAATCTGTTCAACAGCTCAAATTTTGATTAATATGAACTTTTGAAGAAAAAAAAATTTAAAATTGAACGTTTCATTAATGAATGAAAAATGTTGGCTTTGACATAGAATCGCGCCAAAAAAAATCGATTTATTAAAATACTTTGAAGCAAACCCGTGTGCAAATAAAGTGGCTGACAGTCATTCAATTGTATGTAGCTGCAAATAACTAAAACTGGCTAAGTTGATTGAATTCAAGAATGTTGTATAGAAACAAACACTTTTAGTTATTCTTTCAGCCAGCCGTCTAATTTCGGACTTTTTGGCTACTAGATGACTATAACTGCAGTTGACTACAGTCGAATATTTTGTTCGAGATAATCACTTTTAGTTACTGATAGTCAGCCAAAAAGTCCGAAATTAGACGGCTGGCTAGTCAGTCACAAATTTTTCACAAGGGAATCGATATCAATAAAATTGTAAATGAAAAATTTCAACTTCTAAAAAGAATTTTCGTCAAAAATGATTGAATAAGCATGAAATTCAACGCTCCGAATCGTTTTTAATATGACGATTAAATTTGTTTCATTTACTCTAATCAACAATTTATTTGAATTCAATTTTCTCGTATTAACGACACATTTTTTTCTCTTTCTCTTTCTCTCTTCCCCTTTCGAACTTCATCACGTTCTCATTCACTTCATTTAGAATGGACAAACGGTGCTTATGGTTGCATCGGCAAAAGGTTTGTTACCTTTTGCCCGGGAATTGCTTACACGTGGCGCTGATGTGCAGGCCGAAGATTTTGATAATTGGTCAGCATTGTTGAATGCAGCTAAAAATGGTCACACCGAAGTGGCGCGACTGTTGGTTGAGCATGGTGCTGACATTGAGCATCGTGATATGGGCGGTTGGACGGCTCTCATGTGGAGTGCGTACTACGGTCATACCGAAATCGCGGCCCTACTCCTCGACAAAGGTGCGGATATTTTTGCGCACGGTAACTTCCATTTGGGTTCATTACTGTGGGCTGCTGGTCGCGGTCACAGGGAAATCGTTCAGATGCTGGTGCAACGCGGTGCAAAAGTCAATGTAGGTGATAAATATGGTACAACTGCTTTAGTATGGGCATGTCGTCGTGGTAATGCCGATATTGTTGAAATTCTGTTAAAAGCTGGTGCCAATGTCGATACAGCCGGTATGTATTCGTGGACCGCTCTTCTGGTGGCCGTATCCGGTGGACATCAGGAATGTGTTTCGCTGCTACTTGAGCGCAAACCAAATGTGAATGCCTTAGACAAAGATGGAATGACTGCATTGAGCATTGCATGCCGTGAGGGTTTGCATGAGATTGCATCCGCGCTGATTGCGGCCGGTGCATATGTAAATATACAAGATCGTTCGAATGACACCCCATTAATTCATGCCGTTAAGAATGGCCATCGTAGCGTGGTTGAGTTGCTGCTGAAGCGTCACGTTGACGTCGACATTCAAGGCAAAGATAAGAAAAGCGCTTTGTATACAGCCGTCGAAAAAGGTCATGCATCGATCGTACGTCATTTGCTGACATCAAATCCAGACTTGGAATTGGCTACCAAGGACGGTGACACACCGTTATTACGTGCCGTACGCAATCGTAACTTAGAAATTGTTCAAATGTTGTTGGATCGTCGTGCCAAAGTGACGGCAACCGATCGACGTGGTGATACTGCATTGCATATTGCAATGCGAGCCAGATCGAAAGCCATTGTTGAAGCCTTGCTTAGAAACCCAAAGAATAGCCAGCTGCTGTATCGAGCGAATAAAGCCGGTGAAACGCCTTATGCATTGGACAATGCCCATCAGAAAACAATTCTCGGCCAAGTGTTCGGTGCACGACGACTCAATACCAACGAAGATTCCGAAGGAATGTTAGGCTATGAACTGTATTCGTCGGCGGTGGCCGATGTTTTGAGCGAACCAACGCTCACTACACCAATCACCGTGGGATTGTATGCCAAATGGGGCTCTGGAAAAAGTTTTCTGCTGGCCAAACTGCGTGACGAAATGAATATGTTTGCTCGTCAATGGACCGAACCACCGATCCGAGCACCATGGCTGTTGATTATCGTTTGCTGGCATTTATCCATTTTGATCGGTAGCGTTGTTGGATTGGCCACCTGGTCATACATCTATGGAACCGCTTCGGCACTTATTGCGTTGATCTTCTTCTTTGTGTCATTGCAATTGATCAAATTTTCCAACAATAACTATGACTTCTATTGGCCGTACGCTTTTATGAGTGGCATTATGAAACGATTGGGACGACTGCGACTCATATTGCAAGTGGCATTCTGTCATCCACCCGGCCCACAGAGCAGCTCACAACCGCTACCAGTTCGATTTCATTTTGCCGAAGCGAGCCCGGCTAGTCCAACCGGTGAGCTTGCTGTGGCTGGCATGCTAATCTCCCTGTTTGAAGCCATCGAAAACCATTACGGTGCATTGCCAACACGTTTGTATAGAGCATTCAAGCCAAAGCCATTGAAGGTGTCATCAAGTTGGCGATGGAGACGCATGTGCTGCATACCGCTCGTCCTTCTATTCGAAATCGGATTCCTTGGACTCATTTCAATCGCATCCATTCTCATCGTTTATTTTGGGCACACGAAAGAAGACGAAAATGCCACCAAGTACGTATTATTGGATTTGCTTCTATTTTGTTTTTCTAAATCATAACCGTTGTATTTCCAGGGAAGGGCTCCTTTTGGCACTGTACATCATCGGTGGAATATTGATAGCGGGCACACTGGCGAACATTCATGCATGGGCAAAGGCTCTGAGTTCGCTATTCATTTCGCAAAGTCGACATCTCAAAAAAGCATTGAAAAATAATGAAGGAGCACCATTGACGGCTTTGGGCGCAGAAGTGTCGCTTATGACTGATATGGTTAAGGTGAGCGATATTTGGCATTGATTTTCGTTTGATTTTTTTCGAAATGAAATAAGAAATTGTCCAATACAAGTTTGAAAAGATTACAAGTTTTGAAACAAAAATTAACGTTACCGATTTCTCTGTGTCATTTCAACCAGTGCCTGGATGCATTTACAAAGCAACAAAGTCGTCTGGTGGGAATAGTGGATGCGTTAGATTCATGTGATACGGAACGGATAATAACGGTTTTAAGTTCGATTCAAACATTGTTATCGTCACCAAATCGGCCGTTCGTCATGTTATTGGCAGTCGATCCGCATGTTATAGCCAAAGCAGCCGAAGCCAACAGTCGTCGTCTATTCACCGAAGGTGGAATCGGCGGTCATGATTTTCTTCGGAACTTAGTTCACTTACCAATTTATTTGCAAAATTCCGGACTGCGAAAAGTGCAGCGCGCACAAAACACCGCCATGCTGTTCAGACGAAATGTGGTTGATATTCAAAACGAAGATGTACCGCTGTTGAATCATTCGGCCAGTGTTCGAAAATTGTCCAATGCCTCGGAAATTATGTCAAGCAACGAGAAACTTCGGGCACCAGTGAATCCACCGCGAAATAGCTCGAAAAAACTACGCATGTCGGAATCAATTGCCAGTTCAATTGGTTCCAACTTGCATCGAATGAGCACTATGCCCACGGGACCCATCGATCTATCGGTAATTCCATTCTATCGCTTGGCTTTTTTCGATGAACACATTTTTGAACGGATTTTTTTTTTTTTTTGCTTTCAGAAAATCGTACTCACGGATGATTACTTTAGCGATGTCAATCCTCGTAGTATGAGACGATTGATGAACGTCATCTATATCACGGGTAAATTGTTGAACCAAACTTAAAAATTTAAATTAAATCAAACATTTGAAGTTGAATTGAATTTCGGAAACAATTCATTTTGAAACGAATTTTGATAAAAAAATTAATTAAACAATTCAGTGCGACTGCTGAAAGCGTTCCAGATCGAATTTAGCTGGTATCGCTTGAGTTCATGGATCAATTTAACGGAGCAATGGCCACTGCGAGCGAGTATGATTGTGCTGGAACATGACTTGAGCGGTGATCAAATCGATGATTCGGTTTCACTTCAAACCTTATATGAAAAGTAAGAATTTGTTGAGGAATTTAAAAATTTTGAACTATTCTTAAAAAAATGTTCATTGTTGGAGTTGTTGTTGAACTATTCTCAAATGATTGTAAACTATTTGTGTGTTCATTTTTTCACGATTCAGAGTTCGACCAAAAATTTCGCATTTACGAGACGCTACACCGTTGTTGGAATTGGATCGCGATGAACGGAAATTGGAGGCATTTTTGCAACTTCATAAGCACGACTTGCTCGTTGCTGATTTACGTATCTTTTTACCATTCACCATCAATTTGGATCCATACTTACGAAAAGTGCTGAAAGGTACCACTAGCTCGGTTCATCTCTTTGAATCTTGAACTCGATATTTGTTTCGAACTACCCTAATGACATAAATTCAATTTCATTTCTTCAAATCATAAATCCCAATTTCAAACAATTTTGTGTGCCATTTTTACTACGCATGATTTTTTTTCCACTCCCACAGAGGATCAACAAGCGCTCGAAGATGAGGGTATTGTGATGAAACCAAACATTCCATTATCGATGCCGAATCGTTCGCAGCCTCACGGTCAATTGCCAAATGTGGCGAGCGTAACCAATTTTGGTCAAATGTCAAATCCAATGGTTTCATATCACCAATCGATGATTCCGTACACACAGAACTATTTCGGCAATCAGGCCATTGCAACGCCCGGTTTCATTGCAAACAATTTCCCAGCAAATACAAATCCGAGTGTCGGCGAACCACCAAATCGACGAAAAAGCATCATTGACAATATTAATCCATTTATTAGCGAGCAAAAAGTGCTGCCCACGGCTGATTTATTAAGTGCATTTCCCGTAAGTGACATTTTTGGCAGCGAAAAAAAAAAAATCCGAAAAAAAGGAATTTTTGATCGAGAATAAAATGTCTCTCGAATTCGGAATTTTAATATCAAACAGAATTAAACTCAACATAGATTTCAAAATGAAAGGTAGCAAATCAATTAAATCCATTTCTCCAATTTTTCTCTCGTTTCCCTCTCCCAACCCAATTCAGGAGGACCTGTTACACGTTCGTTTATCAAAGTTGTCGGTTGAAGGTCTGACGGCCCTATTGAAAGAGATTGAAGAATTGGAGCCGGCATTCGATCGTTTGGCGCAGGCATTGCATGAGAATGCAATCAGCGGACGAGTCCTAATACATTGTGATTTAAATGAATTAAAATCATTGCTCGGCTTGAGCTTTGGCCATTGGGAGATCTTTCGTTTGCTGATCAATTGCTTGCGTGATATTGAAAAATTACAGCCAGCAATGAAGCTAACTGAAGTCGATTCGGTGCAGCCAACATTCCAACGACAAAAATCAGTTATCGAGAAACAGGTGAGTTTGGATTTTGACGCATTGCATGGATGTTTTAATGGGTTCAATTTCAAAAAGCTACACTATTACTCTTCAACTACTTTTTTGGATGAAAAAAAAAAAAAATCTTCTTTGAAAGGAAACGAAAATCAAAGTCCTCACTCTTCTGTCACTTTGAAAAGAAAAAAAATCCAAATTTTCTACACCAAATGTTTTTTGCTCTTCAAACATATGAAAAAAATTACCATTTTCATCAACACACAAAACATTAATTTCACATGCAAACATTTGTTTTTCTCGCTGGAATGCAGCCAAAGCTCCATGATTATGAATATCATCAGGTAAATTTATGCACCCCGCAAAACATCTTACCGCCAAATTTAATAAAAAAATCCATTTGCTTCCGATTTGTATTGGCTTGACGCAATGAGGAATTATGGTATTCTTGTAACGCGTATTGTATGAAAGTGTACACCGTTTGTGCACACACTGTGTACATTTCATTACAAAATTGTTACAGATTTGTACACATTCCTCATTGGGGATTTACCTTCTTTTTTTCTTATGACTGATTCCGGCTTTGATTTGAATTTTCATTTTGGAATTCATCATTTTTCATCTCATTCTATTCCACAGAACACAAATTGACCTGTTAATTTCGTAAATTCATTTTATTTGATTATACCCTTGGTCACATTGTGACATGTGACACTAAAATAAATTTCTATCGATTTTCTTCTGAGTGAAACTTGTCCACGCTTTGAAAATGAACCAAAAAGTAAATAAAAATGCCAATGAATTGACTCCACCTCCCCGTGTTTAGGTGACGCTTGAAGAGCAAATGATTTGCGGTGCATTGCAAACGCTAAACGAAGAAGCATTCGAGGATGTGGTGGCAAGTGAACGGCCCAGCCCAACCGGCGGTCCATCAATGTCGACAGGTGAGACGATTGCACTTACACCAATACAAGAAACAGCGGAACATGAACGCTCATTAGCTTATTCAAATGATGACACAACCGATCGTCTTCAGTTGCACACCATAAGCTTTTCCACCAATATCAACAACAGTCTCAGTTACAATAATAATAATAATAATTATAATAATTATAGTAGTAGTCATAGTTTTAGTGTAAGCAATGTGAATAAAGGTCATAATAGCATGGTGCCGGCGGCTGATACTAACAGCATTAACACAAACAATAATAATAACGTGAATAGTGTGGCCGGTTTAAGTGTGCACGAACAATCACAATCATCATATCAAATGCAATCGAATCAAACTAACCCCATGTGTAGTTCATCATCATTAGTGCTTGATCGTGAAACCACCTCCACTGTCATTGACAATAATCATACTGCCATTTCGATAGTCCCAACCAAAACAACATCACCACCACCATCATCCACTGTCATTCTGATGCCTGATGCCAAAGGCACTTGCTCTGAATCCAAACCATCCATTGATGATACACGCCTATAAATTTCTTGCGGCAATGTCAATCACATCCATTTTACTTGAATTTTTAGATTATTTTGTTTTGCTTCTTGTTCGAGTTGTTCTGTGTTCCAAAAATTTGCTCCAAAATATTCGAGCCGATTTCGACTTCTTTGAGCAAGGCATTTGTGTTCTTTTTGGTGAAGCGAATATTTGATGTATTTATTTACGCTATTTTTGGCATTGACAATCTTGTGTCACCCAGTCTAATCGAATGAAAATTACGCGCTTGTAAAGTGTTGTCCAATTGATCTAATCTTGTGTGTTCTATAATATTTATGAGTTGATAAACCAAATCCTTAAAGCTTCTGCCGTGTTTTTTTTTTTTGCTCTTTTAGATGCTAGAAATGTAAATAAAGTCAAATAAAGTGTTTCATTTTATTCTTTCATAGAGTTAAATTGAACAATGTCTTAGAGTATAGTTGAAATGAATTCATTAAATAAAAAGTAGCAGAGTTGTACGAAAACGGCCGTTGAAGGAAAAACTGGCTTTTTTAGGTCAAAGATGAATCGCTTTGCTGAACTGATCTTGAATCAATTGATATGAATGTATGGTATCAATCGATTTAGTTGATATGGAGTACTTGGTCCAAAAATGACATGAGGCTCAGTTCAAAACTGAAGCAATTCGATCTAAAAAAAAAAAAAGCCAGTATTTTCGTTGCCCTTTAAGATATTCGCCGTTGCATTACATTAATCGACAAAGCCGAGTATAACGTTCAATCCATAGTTAACCAATGATTTAATTCAAATAAATATCGCTTTTTTGCTTTGCCAAATGTATTTTAATCTAGAGATATCAGGAATGAAAAATTGTCATAAAAATCACAATTTTGTTCAAAGTGTGAAAACAAATGGATGATTTTTCGATTTGCATGAGACAACGAATCCTGTAGATTTTATTGTGTCTATAACGATCTTCGCATGCGCATCAGCTGTCAACTAATGTCATTTTCCACCAAAGGTCTTTGTTTTCAACGCATTGTGGCTTGCATCTGTCATCAGAATGAAATCTATGTCTCTGCTTCGTAAAGAGTAATTAAGTATCACACACTTGGGAGATTATCTCAACTATATCGAACATTTTCATTACTTTTCCGCACGCACAGAAAAAGTGGGGAAGAAAGAGTTGCTTGTTTTGATACGGTATATTCCAAGGTGTTTGGACGGTATTATTTTTTTCTGTTTGTTTACGATTTGTTATAATTTATCCAGTGGAACCTATAAAATAAATGGTGTTTGAAATTGCATGCATTAAAATGGTAAAATGGAACTTAGAACGGTGATTGGATCGTTCTTGCACTTTGTTTTTGTTGTTATTGTGGTGGTGAGTTTTGGGAAACGGCTTGAGAAATGAGTAATAATATCTAGTCAGTTCAAATGAAATCTACTTGTTTTGGCTTTGAAACGAAAGATGACAACGATTGGAAGAACGACGGGTTAGTTTGATGGTTTTCTTTCACCGGACTGTTCTATAGATTGATTTATGCATTTTTCTTCTGACGAAAATTGAACATTATCGTTAAATATCCCGTCGGGCGATGACAATTCGAACCTGCAAAGGAGTTTGAATCGAAGAATTTGAACTTCTGACCAGGTTCGAATTGAAGGGAGTCGACTATATTCATACAATGATATTAAACCCTTGCTGGAACCTAGTTCAAGCGCCCTGAATATTTCAAATCCAAATTTCGGATTGAATATAATGGCCTGATCCTTTCCGGATGTTTTTTTTTGCATACACTTATTGCAATTAGATGCCACAGTGCGAGCTGTTTCTATCAGTAAACTGAAGTAATGATATTTTTTTCCACATTTCCATCCATATTGCGATTTTTTTCCGTTCAATCGTTAATTTCATCATAATCATCCCCCCAAAAAAACTGCCCCTACTATAAAACTCCCTTTTATCCAGAATTAGACGAATCGAATTATTCGAAAAATTCTTGAAAATTAAATAAAAATTGAAATTAAAACAATTCAGCTTTAAATGAATTCGAATTTCAATCATGTTTGATGAATTATTAAATTGATAGCTTCAAGACTTGAGTAAATCATTTGGTCTGTCCAAAGACGATGAATCTTACAATAAAAAGTGCTCTTTCTTTCCATCCGTAAGAAAAAATGGAATAAAAATGCGTTCGAACCATTGCAATTTTTCGAATAATTCATTCCGACTCACGTCATGTACATATATGTACTATAGTATATCAAAGCAAAATTTCTCGTTGTTCTGTAGAAACTAATCATGTAAATGTCATTTGATCGATGCTCTCATCAACATCATGCCTAAATAAAACAAAATCCCCCGAAAACTGTCGAAGAATCGAATCTGGCTTCAATTGAATTGGCGTTCGTTTTTTTTTAAATTTTCCGTTTAGCTAATTGCGAAAACAAAACAAAAAATCAAAAAATTACCATCAAATTTTTACGTATTTTCTCCATGAATTTCGTTTTTTTTTTTGTTTTTTTCTTTCGTTTTTCTTTTCTTCCTCAATCTACAGATTTTAGCGATTATCCCTTGCCTTCGGTTAGTGCATGTCCGTCGTTAGCCAGTTCACCGGTAGTGGCACGCCGTGATTCAATTCTCAAGCACTCGGGAAGTGTGAAAAATACCGATCGTCGTGTGTCGATCAAGCAAAATCAGCCGATTGTTCTCGAGTATCTAAGCGAAAAGAGGCCATCGGTGCAGTTACAACATGCGGCCACTGCGATCAATCTACAACAACAACAACAACAGCAACAACAGTCATCGACAGCGAATGGAAGTTTGGGTAAATTAAATGCGCGACCAGCATCATTAATTTTAACGAAAGGCGATAGACCGACATTTAAGCTCATTCGAACGCCATCAATTGATCAGGATCAAGATGATGCAACAGTAATCAATACCACGAATTTTACAGATTTTAATGCAATGCAACAACGATCGACGACGACGATGATGATGATGAATGCAAACCATCATTTGGCCGCAACCGATTTGAATGCCAAAGACGATGACGATGAAGATGAATCGGCGCCGCTTGTGCAATACGGTGACAAAGAACTAACCAAAATTTCTAGTTCAACCAATCATTCGTAGCACATGACATTGGTAACCGGTTCGAAGGAGCATAAACCAACATTTTTGTGCTCCAAAATTCAATTTCGATGGCATTCGAAGTAACAATACAGTTCTTCGGGCCATCCGAAATTTTTCTTTTTGTAAATAATTTTTTTTTGTTCGTGAAAATGGAGAAAAATCGGTGATTTTTTTAAATCCAAACAAATTATATTTAATTATTAATATATATATATATAGAGTTAAATGTCATATTTTTGCTATGATGCCAAGTTTAATAATGAATTTTATAGCAAACGGATGATTGATTTGAACATTTATTGCCGCACAGACATCCAATAAATTTTCCATTGTTTCTTTTCCTCGTCAGCTATACATAGTCTGTAGTTTAAAACTCCTATTACTGATAGAGTGGGTATACATTTTACCATTAGAATGATCCGTGCAGTGCCCTTTTCCAGACAAAACTACAGAATTTTCCCCTTTTAGAGACATATCTACATCCTGGATATATATTCAAATTGCCTATATCCTTACAGATGTTGATATTTTCAAGCTCTACATTTGATTCACACGAAGAAATATGAGAGTCAACGAGATTTTTGTTTGAAATTGATTGAATCAATTTTAATCTGAATATCTAAGACAAAATGATGATTTTCTTCTCTCTTTTTTTGGAAATTCGTTTTTTCGCCCAATGAAATTTATGAATATGAATTCTAAATAGAAAATTAATGTGCATCTTACAATAAAATTAAACAGAAATGAGACTAAGCAAGCAAAGCTATGGTCGCGCTTATTTTGCACCGCTTTCGTATGCAAACACCACAATTTTATATATGGCCAAACAAGCAAATGAGACAAATAGTAGAAGAGCCGAAGTTAGAGCGTTGAGATTAAGTAAGAGATTTTAATGGGCATGAATCAAAGAGGCTTCCATTTCACTTTTATACCAAACGTTTAATTACAATTTTAATTGTTGAATTAGCGGCGTGAAAGTATTGAAGAATGGATGATTAGCAAGAAATCGCTTTAGTATACAATCACGTTAGAGGAATCCGTTTTCAAAATCCTCTTTTTCCCTCAAACTGGCGAATACAAGCACATGACTCAGTGACAGCAAAATACCGAATGAAAATGAAAGAGCGTATGGTTTGAATGGTTCATTCGGAATGTTGTTCGGGCGGTGAAATTGAGCACTTTTCTATTTTGATTCATTTTTTCTCGTGTGTACAATTAATTACCCTAGCCGGTGAAGTGAAGTGTGTTTTTGTTTTTGTATCGATTACACTAGATTTAAACGGAACGTTTTAGAGCGTTTTTGTGATGCAGATATTATATAAAACGTTGTTGAAGTTAATAAAATAGTTTTGAAATAGAGAATATGTTCATTGATGGTAAATTTTTTTTCTGCGAAATAAAGAAAACCGTCTTTTTTGAAATAAAAAGACAAAAAAATGCACACACGATATTTTATGTAGAAACTTTGTTGTTTTATTCAAATCTTGAACTATTTTTCGTTTTTCTTATAAATAAAGCAGCTTAAAAATAAATAAATACAGTTGTTTGTGAGTTTTTATTGCATTCTGCGTTGAAATGGCCTCTGGTGATGGAACAGCCTTGGTGGCAGTCGAACTCGGAATGGCGCTCGCATTGAAGCTCGGAATGGCACATTCATCGGTCTCATTGGTGGCGCCATTTGCAGCGGATGCATAGGTCCGTAGAAATGATGAGGAGGTGGCATTGATGGTTGAAAACCATTGTGTGCAGGTAAATAAGGCATTTGCATTGGTGCCATTACGTGTGGTGACATATTGTATCCCATCGAATATCCAGCTTGTGGTACCTTTTGAAGTAAAATGGAAAATGATTAGTTTTTGAAGTAAATTAAAGGCAATCTTCAGCAATCATAGTTCAGAAATAGCAATGAAACCTGCTTTAATCGTCGAACAAGTGAAATTAATTCGAATTTTGTGTGTATCATACTAACCGGAACATATATAATTTGAGGCTGTTCATTTGAAGGTGATTTTCTTGATTCTGATTTCCGTTGATTGTCGTGAGATGAATGATGCGATCGAGATGATCTTGACGATGGTGATGTTCTTTGGCTTCGTTTCTTTTCTTCTTTGTCGCGAAGATATTTGTCAAAACGTTGCTTTCGTCTTATTTGACGCCGTGACTTTTCGGTGTTCTTTCGTACGGACGTCAAACGTTGTCGTTCTCTACGCGGATCAGTATAGTAGGGTCTTTCTTCTTCATCCTGGAAATTAAAAAATTAAATAATGAATCAGTTAGATACGAATTATGATGAATTGACAAAAAATTATGAATTGGAAGTTGTGCATTTCATAAAAAAAAAGAAGAAAGAAACAGCTTTATGTGTGAGATTAGAAAAGCAAATTTTCACGCGAAAAAATGGAATTGATTTTGAAATTTGTTCAAAAAGCGAGTTGTTAGCGAATCAGCAAAGTGATTTTGAATAAAAAATGAATAAATAAAAGAAAACATACCGATGACGAAGATGAAGAAGTCGATGACGACGATGAGGAGGACGATGAAGAAGCGCTTCTTCGATGATGTCGCGAAGCACGTCCATTGCGAACTTGACACTCGTTTGATTTATTCTCACGTTGGTTTGAAGAAACGCCGGATGTTGTTGCTGTCGATGATAAACTCTCCATCAATTCGATATTATCTGCGGTCAATTCCAATTCAATTTGGTCTTCTTCGGAATTTGCCATTCCTTTCGATGACCGACTTGTCGCTGTATTTATACGGAAAGTTGATTTCGACGGATTTAATCTGTATGAAAAAAAGTGTTTGAAAAAAGTTTTCAAAAAATTTCAATATTTATTGAAAAGTAAGTTTTAAAACGAATGTTTTCGAATTGGTTCTATTCAATCGTCCCATTTTGTACTGCAAAAAATGAATCACACAGAAAACTATTAAATTATTACTCACTTTTTGTTTGTATTTGCCATGGCTCGAGCTCAAAAAATTCTTTTAACACTTGGTAAGAAAAAAGCGTTTCTACAAGATAAAAAACTCTTGTGATAATTAGCGGAAAAAACGTGTTGCAACAAGCACTTCTGTCTTTGAACAACGATCGTAAAGTGACCAGTCCATGGTCAATGCTGAAAATATATACTTCAGTCGATTCGAAGTGACCTGCAATTAACGTTGGCTCCTTTTCATCCTTGAAATTTTTTGCTGATTTTCGACTCATTAGCTCCACCCCTTTTGCATGCTTAGAGACAGCTTTTTGGTTTTCCTGTGCAATATGCGTTTTTCGACAAAAATCCGGTGGAAAATAGAAAATTTGCACGTTTGTTGATTTCGGTATGAGTTATAACGGTTTTTGACAACAAATTCAGTTATTATAATGTATTTTGTAGTCAATTCTCTATATTTTCTGGGATTGAAGCCAGTGAAGCGAATTTTTAATTTTTTTTTTGTCCATTTTTATCGACGAAGATATTCTAAGAAGAAGAAATAAGCCGACTTCATTTTTTTTTGGATTTCATAGACAATTTGATTGAAAAGTGAAGCTGAGATAAAAAATGAAAATTAATCATTCAAAGCGATCAAATCATTTTTGACCCATAGAAAATCGTAGAAAATAATCAGAAGAAAAAATCCATTTTCGAACAAAGTTCATAACTAAAACAACGTATGCATTGTATTCCACTCGAAATTGATGGTGATTGGTCCGACAATGTATATTCTTCTTTCAATTGGCCCATTCCATTCGATTCACATGTAGCAGGTGAGTAAACGTTTTTTGGGTTGGACTATTTATGCAAATGAACGCAACAAATTTCAACAGAAAAAAACCATTTTTTGCATTCAAAGATGAGATGTTTCAGGTACACATCGTCGTTCTGCTGCAGTTAATCTTTCTAAAAACAAGCAGCCATATATTATGCAAATTTTTTGCTATGTTCATTACGGGTGCGCTATGGATTCTGTTAACTAACGGATCTTTCTTTGTTGTCGCTTTCGCTTTATGCACTCAAATGCCTCCGTGATGATACACATTACACACAACGGACAAATGCAACGTATGCAGAATGTGAACAAAGCAGCCAAATCAATGATTTCATATGGTCAGATGTTCGTTTTTTAGTTTCTTTTGCGGATTAGGTTTTATAACACTGGCCTAATCCTCCGTTTCGGCTTCGTTAAGGGCAGTAAAGTAGCAGTGGTCGAGCAATCACAGGTAGTTTCGAGCATGTACGAAAGCATGACTAATTTGATCCGGCTCATCTCAAGTGTGTCGCATGCAAAACATTCTCTCCGATCCGTAAAAAACATTTTTTGTATCAAAAAAAAAATGCAATTTTTTTTTTCAAATGCCAAAATTTACCGATGGACACTTCGTCAGATGTGCTAGAGGATTATAGTCATTCTACCGGTGTTCGTTAACGAAATGCAAAGCGGTTTTGTGGTTCAAATCCAATGTCAACAAATCGTAAAATTTTATGACAAACACTATAAAACGTTTGACTTATCCTTGAAAATCCAAGAAAATCCCTCTGATTGTCCGTTTACTTACTTTTCATTCTTGGATTGTTTTTTTGCAGAGAAAAATTGATCGCTGAAAATGATTCGATTGCAGAAAATGCCGGCTAATCAGAGCTATGCATTGCGAATCAAATCTACGTACACTCGAATTTTTCGTTTTTAATTCTTTTGCCAAATAATCGATTCAGATTGGCAGCATTCGAGTTGAAAGATTATGATTTACGAAAATTTTCGATCAAATGCATTTGGCCGTAATTGACGTCTGCATTCCGAAATTCAAAGTGGAAACGGAAATTCGTCTGAAGCACATCCTGCAAAATGTACGCAATTTACACAAGCAACACGTGAATATTGAACATGAAAAGAAAATCATTTTATATTATCAGAAACAGATGATTTCATATAATAAATGTGTCTATTTGGGGATGGCTGAACTGTTTTCGTCAAAAACAGATTTGAGTGGTGCTGTTGATTCGAAAGAGAATTTTTATGTTTCCAATGTAATCCACAAAGCAATCATTGAATTTAGTGAGGAATACAATGAGGCTGACGCTGTCACAGGTGAATCTTTCGAGGTGCCAATCAACTGATTTCAATTTTATGCTGACATAATTTTTTTGAAGAAACCATTTAAAAAACCAAGATCAGACGTCCTTCATTCATCGCTGAACATCCATTTATCTATCATATATGGGACAAGGTTAACAAAATCCCAATCATAAGTGGTCGCATAAAAAGTCGTGTGACTCTAAAGCAATGACAACATGCAACTTTTAGCAAATGATATAAACGTTAAAGAACATTTAAACTGACACAACCAAATTGTTTGCTGTCGTACTTTGTCCCGCTCACACCAACTCTCACACTGACTCGTTCGTGCACGAATTTCTGTTAGCGTAAAAGAGACGTTGTTCGCAGTAAACTCAGTTTAGATGTTCTTTAAAAAAAAAAAAAGGAAAAAAATTCAAACTTGAATGAAAATTGTTGTTCACATTTACATTTAGTTTTACACGCTACAACCCAAAAAATGTAAAACATCAATTGGTTTTATTCGTATCTTATTTTCGTCACTAACTTTTTCCTTGGCAAATTCTCGTTGCGAATAGAACCATTTTCAAAAAGATCATTCATTCATTGTATTTTCGTAAAGTCAATGAAAATAAATGATTTTATTTCATTCCAAGTTAATTCAATTCGTTCATCAAAATTGCGCCACAATCAATGTCATGATCATTATGTCGTTATGCTAACATTGGAATAGTGTGAGTTTTTGACATGTTCAATTGATGAATATTCCGTCAATTGGTCGTTTATGGATGGACTTGAATTACTTTATTAATTTCGTTAATCTTCATAATATTTTAAGTATTGAGAGAACTTTTTGAATTTGGAAATATTTTTTTTATTTATTTTATAGATAATTTACATCTTCCAAAAATGAAGGCTGCAACCAAATGCATTTTTACTTATTACTTTCGTAACTTTGAGTGCTTGCTCTCCTAATGACGATGATAATCTTCAGGGCACTTATTCTATCAAAGGATTGGGCACAAGACGTAGACAATATTTGTATGGAGTAACTAAAGAGAATTTATCGTTTCGAATCCTTAATAGGGAAGCTTTCAATTTAGTTATGAGCGCATATAATTTGGGAAAGAAAATATACATCGGAGGAGATTCTGAGCATAAAACTTTTTATATGGGTAACAATTTGTGATTGAAGATTAAATTGATATGTTCCAGCATTTCAATCCAAATTACTTTATCGGTGACCATACAAAATAATATTACTTTTCCGTGTCAAGGGAAAGTATAGGAATTGGTCCCGAAAACTTAACAAAACTTGGTTTAAGTTCAAAGATGAGACATTTTCAATTTGATCCTGGGGAAAAACCTCAAAAAATTGATTCTGCAAGTTTGAAGCCAATCGGAGTCGATTACCGGGTACCTCCCATACAAAAATTTCGTAATTTCGACTAAAATGAACGATTTTTCGGCAATTTTGTATGGGAGGTATCCGTAAATCGATTCCGATTGGCTTCAAACTTTCAGAGGTTTCATTCTTCAGAGGAAAAAATAAGATTCTGGAAGTTTCATGTTGATCGCATTTGCAGAAGTTTGGTTTTTGACCTTCAATTTTTGTCGAAATTTTCTTGGAAAAAATTGAGGGTCAAAAACCAAATTTGTGCATATCTGAATAGATATCTCATTTTTTCGCCAAAAAATGAAACCTCAGAAAGTTTTGAGCTAATCGGAGTCGATTAACGGGTACCTTCCATACAAAATTGCCGAAGTTTTAACCGAAGTGACCGATTTTTCACTAGAAAACTGCCTTTATTCAAGAAAATTCACAAAGAATAAAAAGTTCGGCATTACGAATGTAATTCTTTTTATGTTTCAATAAAGATTATTAATGTTCTTTCACGGAAATTGATGTTTTTTTACTCTTGTTTATGGACATTTCTTTGAATCAATTAATAAATTTTTGTTTTTGTAACATTGAAAAGAGATGTTTTATCATGATAGTATAGTATAGACAATCATGCTTGAAACCACTATGATCGTGAATGTTCGAAAATACGAACCTGTTGTACATCTGCTGTGGTAAAATTACATTATGGCGGCAAATTGTGTCGCTGAGCATAAAAATGAAAATACAGATCTGTTACTGAAAGAACTGAACATGAAGAATTGTTTCTTAAAAACGGAACATGCGTCTCCATTATCACGAGCGAAACATGAACTGCTGAGAATATTCGTTGGACATGTTCCGATGCGTTGTTAGATGTCAATTTTGAACAATTTGCACGCAAAAATAACACTTCAAAATCATTTTTCGTTCATTTGAGCCGTGATTGATAAAATTTTGTTTGATTTTCCTTTATTTTTTATTGAGCACAAAATAATTGTCCATTGATCGATAAAGCAAAGACGACATACTTTGTCAAAAAAAAATTAGAATTTGTCCCGAATTTCGATCACAAAATGTTTGTGTTGATCATAAATATGGGTACATCATTAAGTGAGAGAATAAGTTACGTTTTTGAATCAATACACACATGAAATCGTTGATGTTTGATCGGAGCCAACATCAAATGTGTATTACGTCCATTCTTTACGGTAGAGAAGCAGCTACTACATCAGCATTTCTTATCGTTTTACGGGGCCATCCTTTTGTTCGATCATGCAGATAGAGCAAGTCTCGCACTAAAACAAATAGAAATTTGATTAGATTGTTGCATTTCCATGAATCAACTATATTGGATAAACAGAAAAGGTAAAGTATTTACTCTGCGAAAAATTCAATATGCACAAGAGGCTCAATAACAAATCCTTTTCCAATTTTGGCGAATTTATAATGTCTGCTATAGCTTTCCTTAAGCCTAATTCAGGGGGTAGTGTCCATGCATCCTGCGTAGCAAAGCCGTAGACTATTACAATGATGGTTAATAGTATA